TTGTTTGTGCTATTGTTATAAGAAGGTTACTGCTAAGTATAAAAACGTACTTGATATAAAGCAATCGTTTGCGTTAATACTTTTTTTTCTAAAAAAATTAATCAAGCATAGACTTGTTTAAAGTGTTATAATGCTTTTGGAAGGAGGAAGCCAAATTCATGGAATTATCAAAGAGGAGGAAGTTATTATGCCTATGGGAAAGAAAGTTAAAAAGATCTCTTAAAATTTTGCTCTTCTGATCTTCCTTTTAATTAAATTACTGGAAGGAAATTGAGGAAAAGGCAGGGTGAATTAAGCAATTAGTTACTGAATAAAAATTTAGACCTCAGCAAATATCTGGGGATTATACTCTTCAAAGGGGAAAAAATAACCCCAAAGTTACAGAAAAAATCCAAAGTAAATCTGTCATCAGGAAATGACCCCAGTATCATAAATTTGAAAAGAATGAAACAATTGTATAAGATATTGAAACAAAACAGGCCACAGTGTTTGAGTTATCTGAACAACTGAGGTCAATGTGGGGTTTCTGGCTGGATTATCCAGATAACTGCATTAATTCTTGCTGCTAAAGTCTCTCTTCAGGATCTATATTTAGAATTCTAAGTGCTTTCTTAAAAACAAAACAAAACAAAAAAACAAACTCCAAACTTAAGTAGAGCAACAGAAATGGTTCTGGTAGTAAGAAATGATGGGTGGAAAGGGAGGAGTAGAAGATGGACAATAGGAAAAGAAAGATAGGACATGAGAGGTGAATAGTATGGAGTTCACTTTAAGAATATGCCTCTTACTATTTGTATACTTTTTTTGTCGTTGTTTTGGGCTCACATCTAATGATGCTCAATGTTAGTCCTAGCTCTGCACTCAGGCGTCATTCTTGGCAGGTTTAGGAACCATATGTGATGTCAAGGATCGAATCTGGGTCAGCTGCATGCAAGAAAAATGCTTTCCCCACTATACTCTTGCTGCTCCCACCCTTTTTTGCTTCAGAGAGGTTTCACATTCAGTGGTGCCTGGGGGACCAGGTTGTGCTGAGAACAGAACCCTGCATTCCTACATAAAAATCGTATATTTTGGTTCTTGAGTCTTCTCCCTGGTCCAAAGACTACAATTTCTTCTGGTGTAATAATGAACATTCACTTTTAAATCATAGAACAACCTTCTACAATGAGAAAGGGACCTACACACAGATTTTATACCTAATCCATTATTTTTTTTAGCTATCGATTTCTTTTCAAATTTCAATTCCCCATTGTGTTTTAAATCTATGAAATCCCTTTAAAATTTCAATTCTCCAAAATTTGGAAACTCTGTGACTCCAAATCCAGACTTTTAATTTTATAAAACCAAGAAGATTGGCTAAAAATAATAAAAACTATACTTTTGGTTATTGTTTTTTCCCTTCTAAATCTTATAACAGAGAAAAAAGATACTTACCTCCTGGATGCTTTTCCATTCACTTTTTGACAGCACCTAGCCCAGTAGAAAATGACTTGCTAATCTTGTCAGGAGCTGAGTCTGCCATGCAAGTAAGTTCTAACCCACAATGCAAGTGTTGTGTGAGAATTCTAGAGAGCTTCCTCCTTTTCTGGAATGCTTCTGTCTCCACTGCAAAAAAGACTCCTAGATCTCCAGTGATTTCTTGGTATGTAGAATAACCTTCATATTACACTAGAATTCCCAAGGACTAGAAGAAAATCGAGTCAACAATAACTGTGGAGCAATTATACTTGCTCTGCTCTACTTCCTTATGTAGTGCATTGCTTTTAGAGAGCAGTAACTTTTCTCTAGCTTAAGGAACTATTATTTCTAATGTCTTTGCTAATAGGTGACCATAAGTCCCAAATGATACATATAATAGTATTGATCGAAAAGTTTTGAAATTTTAGATTAGATTTTCAGGTCTATATAATGGTACTCCACAACCATTATAGACATGTAACCACATATTCTGATCTACAAACAAGAAAATTAAATGAGGGGTTGGAGTGATAGTACAGAGGATAGGGCACTTGCCTTGCACATAGATGATCCAGGTTCTATCCCCAGCAACCATAGGTCCCCTGAGCACCACTAGGAGTAATTCCTGAGCACAGAGCCATGAATAACCTATGTGTGTGGTCCCCCAATAACAAAAAAACTAAGAAAAGAAATCAAGTGATTAGGTGCAGTGTAGTTGGTACATTTGGTACAGTTGAAAAGAATAACAATAGTTGAGGAAAGTGATAAGTACTACTTCAGAATTATATATAGCTATGTGGGCAAAAATAAGTTTGAAGAAGGAAATAAGAAAATACAAAAATGGAAAACAGTTCTAAGATCTTAATAATAATACTGTGATCATTATTTTGTGTTCTCAGAGACTGAACATAGGGTTTCACAGGAGCAAGGCAAATACTTTCTCTTGAGCTACATCTTGGCCCAACAATTATTACATATTTGAAAAATATTGTTCAGATTTTCCTAAGGTCAGTACAATATCAATGGAAGAGAAAGAAAGACTAACCTATACTATTGTCACATGGAGAAGTAAGATGGAATGGAAAAATTCACCATTTTTCTATTGAGAAGTTTCCCAATTTCCTTTATCTTTTATGATGCACCTCTTCTATGAAGCTCTCACAAGTCCCCTCTAAAAACTATCCTCTGCGGAATGGATAGCGAGTACAGAGGTTAAGGTGCTGGTTTTCCTTGCAGCTGGCCCAGGTTCTATCCCCAGGACTGCTAATGGTCCCCTGTGCCTTGCCAGAAATAATCCCTGAACACAGAGCTGGGAACAAGCCCTAGCATTACCAGGTGTAGCCACAAATCACAAAACAAACCAACAAAATTACCAATGCTTTTATACATCCACCAGGGCAGAACTAAGGTACATTGAGTGAGGAATTAATCATAGGTCCACCACAGTAAGAGTTGCCAAACCCTTTGTAATCAAGACAAACACTTTTAAGGGATATTTTAATTAGTGTTCTGCAGTATTCAGGCCAGTTTCCTGGTTTTTGTAAATAAAAATGTAAATTACTTAGCCTTTTATCTCTAGTAAAGCAATCAAGTAGTGCTTTTAAAATTCTCTTCCAACTAAATCCACTCATTTTTTAAATTCTTTATGTGCCTCTAGCTCTATTTCAAGTTTAAAAGTCCTCTTAAAATATTAAGTTGAGGTTCAGAGTCATAGTACAGTGAGTAGGGCTCTTGCCTAGCATGTGACTGACCTGGGTTTGATCCCCTGCATCACATTTGATCCCCCAACTCCACTGGGAGTCATCCCTAAACACAGAGCCAGGAGTGAGCCCTGAGCCTAGCTGAGGTGGCCCCAAAACGACAAAAAATTTAAATATATTGAAAAATTTTGCCAGAACATACTATATGAGAAACTGCCGGCTTAAGTTTTCATTGCTAAATGTGTTTACAGCAAATAAAATGATACATATTTTCAAAGTATCTGCAATTCAGTTCCAAGGGCACATCACCTGACTTCTCTTTGAATAAAAAGCCCCAGCAGCCTGGAGAGAAAAATTCACACTCGTCTAGCACTTGTCCTATATAAAGTATCTTCTTCTAATTATCACCTTAATCCTGCTAGATAGTCATCTTTATTATCCCGATTTTTTTTTTTAATGGAAAGACTGAGAAGCTAAGAGACTTACCCAGAGAGTTACAGGCACAGAGTATTCAGTATTGGCTTTTAACCTAGCTTTTCTCTGTGAAAACACAAAGCCCTTTGACTGCTCCAAACATTAAGTCTTGGATTGACTGAGGCAAAACAACAACACAGCAACTGCAATGGCTTGTTTTATGTGGGAGAAACAATGTTGGTTGCACCCTAAACTGTAGTATTTTGCCTAGTGTATTTACCATGATTAACATTGTTCTGATTTTTATGTATGTGTGTTGCACAAGTCTCCTGGGATAGAATCAGATCCTTCATTAAAAGTTTTGACTGAGGATAGAAACTAGCGTACTGAAATACCGACGAATACAATTGAAGAAATTAGATATTCTTGAGTAGTAACTACATTCTAAAGTATTTGTGATAGCAGAACATGTCAATCATACCTACTAGGACTTTCCTCAAAACAAACTTCCAGGAAGGTTGTTGAGCTAGTCAGCTGAAAAAAATGTGTTTCATTGTGAAGTGCTCATAAATTAGAAGTTCTTTTAGTCTAATGGCTTATTTTTCTACTTAAAAAACGGCAATTAAATTTGAGGCTAATCTGCTTCAAATACAATTTCCGGCAGCATATAATAAACACAACAAAGAAACCAAAATGCCCATTTGGTCGTCAGCGCAGATTTCTTAAGAAAATGATAGATTCCCCCTCGATTAATTGCTGGCCATGAAAATTAAATGAAAAGAAATTGCAGTGCTGTTTCATATGGTGATAGCTGTGTTGCAAGGAGAGCTTCCTTTTTCCCAGTCAGAAACTCAAGGCCAAGCCTGTTAGTGAATTGCAAGGAGCAATTCATTCAATCAGCAACAACCGAATGAATGTCCACAGGGCGCCTAGGTTTCGGAGCAGATCTAGCCGCATTACTTAAGGGATTTCTTAGCAGAGGTCCGTAGTCTTTGACGATGCTAAGCAGAGCGTGCTCCTCTGATTCCACCTGCCCCTCCATGGAATGAGTCGCAGAGCCCGGGTTTCAGAGCCCTCGAGATCTCCAGCACCCAGTGCACTTATGTAAGTGAAGACCCCGCTGGGTGCCAAACGACAGGCAAGACGGTGATCCAGGCTGGGGGGGTCTCAGGGCGAGTCAAGCCACCCCCGGGCTGCAGCCCGGGCCGCGGGGCGCGGAGGCGACCCCGAGCCTCCGCCACCCCCTCCCCGGCGCCCCCCACCCCCAGCGCGCACCGGCTCCCCGTCGCCCAGCCCCGACCGGTTCTCGCGAGATCCGGCAACTGAGCGCTCGGGGCCTTTTCAAACCGGGATCCGTTGCCGCGTCCCGGCCGCCGCCATTGTCGCGCTCGTAGCCCCTCTCGGCGGCGGCGGAGGCGGAGGAGCGGCGGCGCCATGGCGGACGCGGACCAGCCCCCAGCGCCCGGGACTGCCGGCGACGACCACGCGCCCCCGCAGCCCGCGGAGCCGCCGGGCGAGCCGCGGCGAGACCCGCACCCGCCCGAGCCGGACAAGCAGCCGCCGCCGCCGCCGCGCAGCAGCAGCAGCAGCAGCAGCAGCTCCAATGGCGTGAAAATGTATCGTCTTTGACTCCGGGGCTCGGGGCTGTGTGTGTGTGTGTGTGCGTGTGTGTGTGTGTGCGCGCGCGCCTCTGTGTGCCTGCGCGTGTGTCTGTGTGTCTCGGGGAAAACCGGCCGCGGGGACGCGAGGCCCGACTCGGGCAGGGAGGAGCCGCCTCCGGACCGCGGGCGGCGGGAGGAGCAGGTGCAGCCGGGATCTTCCCAGGCCCGTCCCCCGCCCGCGGGGTCCGGGAGCCGGGGGTGGGAGCTGCGAGCCGGCGGGGGTGGGGGGGGAGGCCCGGGAGCGGGGCTCCTCCCCGATTTCTTAGCCCGAGACTGCGGGGTCAGCCCCCGGCCCTCCGCTTCCTCTGTGACTTCGACTGGCGCATCCTATTGTGATTATTATTATCATTTCGGGGGGGGGCGGCGGCGTGGAGACGCAGCTCAGCCACCCACACGGTTTGTGCAAAGGAAAGGAAAAGAAAAGAAAAGGGCTCCCCTCCCTCCTCTTTGCAAGGCCAGCAGTCAGTGTTCATCACCAGGGCGTATCTAAGGGTGACATCATCGGACGTTTCCTCTCGGCTTTAAAAGGCGGGGAGCGCCCCCCCCACCTCCCGCCCCTCCCCAGCTTTCTGCCCCGGGCGCTGCCGCTTCTGCTGCTGTGGTCCAAGGTGGATGTTGATTTCCGATCTGGACCGGCCCCTAAAAGGGGCAGTGGAAGCCTGTGAGTCCTGGTCCTCCACCCCCACCCCACCCCCGACTGCGTCGCAGGGCGCCTCGGAGAGGGAAAGGTGCGCCCCGCCTTCCTGCACAGTCCACAGTCCTGGCAGGCGGTGGTGGAAGAGAAACTTGACAGCCCCGATTCCGCGCGGGCGGGGAGCGTGATGCTTCATTTTTGCTTGGATGGTGAACCTGGGTCCTCCTCCTCCTCCGCCCCCGTTGAAGGAAAAGTCACTGCTTGGAAGATCCCGCGGCCGCGCGGCCCCGGGTGCCCCTAAGGAGCGCCAGGGACTGCGCTCAGCGATGATTTCTGGCGGGGGGACAGGTCATGCCCCCTCCGCTCCACCTCGTTGTTATCTGGCTGTGCCCGAAGGAGGAAGGCTGGGTTTTATTTTCCCAGGCGCGGCCCTTGTACATTTCATCGACACCGGCCTGCTCCTTTTTCTCAGGCCTCTGTCCGACTTGGGTGCGGCGAACAGAAGCGCTCACTCTAAAACAGTGGCTTCTTAGCATAAAAACGTGGTTTCTTAACGTAACGACGTTGGAACGGTGTGGCCCCACACTTGCTCACAGTTGGGTTTGAGCAGGCCGGGCAGCACCGACCGATCAGAACTGAGTGGCAGGTCCTAAGCCGTTTTACTTTGGTGGGGTGTGCCCCTAGGTGGAGAGTGGTGCCACTCAGAAACTCTGAAACAGAAACTGAGCGAGGCACTTTACTGTCTTGCCTGTCAACACCTGGGCTTCTAGGGACTTGGCAGTAGAAATGGGAGTGAAAGCCAATGGGATGGTGATGTACTTTTGCGGTTTTTATTTTGGCTTACGTCTAAACGAGGACCCCCTTGCTCCTGCTCAAAAACACAGCGGCCCTACTAGACTGTACAAGAGGGTGTGGCAAAGCATGTATCTTAGTCGCAGAAGTCTATTTTATAGTTTCCGTGTCGTTTAGCTTTACAAGAGAGTGACAGAGGGGAGTAAAGAATTTTAACTTCAAGATGAAGAGTTTAAGAAGTATCACTGGTAAATATGAACACACACGCTTCATACTGATTGTAACTCATCTCCCGCTTTTTCCAGAGTTGGAGTAAAGAGGCCATTTTATTTCAGGGTTTTTTGTACTGTTTGTTCCAGATGAACATATAGTGGCCCAGCCTAGGTAACTCCCACAGACTCATCTGGGAATCTTTATATATCTATCTGAAAGTACTTTATTAATTTATTTATTTGACTCATAACACATGAATCTTCAATTGGTTTTGTTGCCATGTATTTTCAACGATAGCGATTCATAAAGACAATAGAAATGAGCAAATAGTACCTTAAAATATGTATTGTTTTTTAGTGACTAGAATGCCACTTCTTATCAATATTGAAATGATTTTTGTGGAAGTTAGTCCATAGTGATTGAGGATGGAGATCATTATGTCTAAGTCAGCCTCGATTCCCAAAACTTTATTCTTCGAAGACTTGGTGAAGATTTAAAACATGAAGTCGATATTAATGACCATGGAACTCATGGACAGAGGATTTGGTTAACATGTTCACACTGTTTGACAAGATACTGTTTTTTCTTTTTGTTAGAATAGTACACTAGTGGGGCTGAAGCGATAGCACAGCGGGTAGGGCATTTACCTTGCACGCGGCCGACCTGGGTTCGATCCCGGGCATCCCATATGGTTCCCTAAGCACCACCAGGAGTAATTCCTGAATGCAGAGCCAGGAGTAACCCCTGAGCATCACTGGGTGTGACCCTCCCCCCAAAAAAGAATAGTACACTAGCTTTCCTTAAGTGAGTAGGAAGAAAAATAACAGTATTATTGTAATGATAATTTGCGGGTGATTGAATAATAATTTAGAGCATTTAAAGATTGTGAGTTGCATTAGGATACTTGAATAAAGTATTAAGCATTGGAGCAAGATGAAGTGTTGGAAATGGAGTAGTCCAGACCTGACTGTGCTCAGGTGCTACTCCTGGCTCAGTGCTTGGGGGACAATCTTGAGAGTGCTTAAACCCAGGTCCCTGCAAGCAAAGCATTGTGCACAAACCCTTTGAGCCTTCGTCTTGGCCACGGTAGTCTTTTTTTTTTCTTTTTGGGTCACACCCAGGAATACTCAGGGGTTACTCCTGCCTCTGCCCTCAGGAGTTACTCTTGCCGGGGCCCTGGGGACTGTATGGGATGCCGGGAATTTTACCTGGATTGGCCATGCAGGGCAAACACTCTACCTGCTGTACTATCGCTCTGTTCCAGGCCACGGTAGTCTTTTATTTAAAAAAAAAAAAAAGATAGTTAAAAATGGAACTGGGGTCTGCAGAGATAGTACAGGGGCAATGAATGCTCTTGCCTTGCATGTTTGATCCCTGGTACAATATGGTCCCCGGAGCACCACCAGGAGTGATCCCTGAGCACAAAGCCAGGAGTAAGACTTGAGTACTGCTGGAGTTGGTTCAATTACCGTCTCCAAAAAAGAATCATACTGGGCTTAATTCTGAATTTTAGAGAGATAGCTTTATTTTAAAATCACATTAAAACTGGACTTCCTCACTTTACTTTTCAGAAAAAACATGTAATGTGACTAGGGATGATTTAATCTTTAAGACAGTAACATTTTTGTGACTTAGAATAGTTTTAGCTTTTATTGTCTAGTTCTGAATATAGCATCATCTCCCCAAGACTCTTCACATAGACTTTTTTAAAAAATTTTTATTAGTGAAGCACCATGAGGTACAATTGTAGACTGAAAAATTTTTGTGCTTGGGTTTCAGTTATACAATGATCGAGTATCCATCCCTCCACCAGTGCCCATTCTCCACCAATGATTCCGGTCACACTTTTTCTCTTTTCCACAGTATATTTATGACATATTGAATGGGGGTGGGAATACAGGAAGGGTAGATTGATGGGGGAACACTGGTAGAAGTTGTGGTGTAGGAAGATTGAATGTATGAAACCCTATCATCAACAGTATTTGTAAATCACAGAACCTAAAGTAAAAAAGAAAAATTACAAGCTGATGTGAATTTTAGGAGTCTAAGGATTACAGTATGAATGCATTTATTTAAATATTTATGTACTTTTGTGCATAAGTGCATAAGTTTATGCATTGAAAAAATCAGTGATTGTTATCCAGGAAATGATATTTTGCCATTTCCTATATTTTCCAAAATATGTACAACAAATATGCATATACACATTTAAATGCTATTAATCCAAAAATTAAAGTATGGCTTAGTTTCTTAATAACCAGAACAAACCCCAGCCATAGAAAATTTTAATTTATGCTTTGGAAAAAAGAAAGTTAGTAATATCGTAAAGATGCCTTTAACTGGGGACTCAAAGAAATTGCTTTTTCTTGTCATTCTTTGAGTCAGTATTTTAAAGAGATGTGCCTCTTGATATTTTTCTTAATAGAATTGCCGAAATGTAAGCAAATGCTTACAGCATCCATATAAGAATCAAATATAGCTAATTCTTCAGAACTTGGTACAACTTTCACCATTGTCTCGTTCACGAAGAAAAGACAGGGCAAAGGATGCATAGCTCGAGACCATATAGCCCTCTTATCTTAACGGGGACATGATTATTTTTTAAATGTTGGTTGAATTCACTCTGCTGTAGTGGTAAATGTATTCTTTGGGGGGCTTAAAATAAAGGGTTTGTTTTTTATTCTGTTGTAGTCAGAAACCAGAGAAACTCCTGGGTGCTTTTGGCCTCTAGTTGGCCATTCTCAAAAGTGCCATTTTGGTCAGACAGTAGGTACTTGTTAGAGCGTATATAGTGGAGAAGACCATTCTCTGGCCGGGCCTTTTCTGAGGAGGGACGACGTTTGATAGAGAAAGTATCCCTGCTAAGGTCTGAGAAGGTGGCAAAAGTAGTTTGGTCCTAATGTATCTTCTTGGATTTTAGAATTTGGGGGGGGAGGTTATTTTGGGGGGAGGGGTGAAGGGTGGTTGAGGAAAGACAGGGGTGCTATTTGTGCTCACATGATTATGGACTTCGAATTATTCTGTTGAGCACATATTAGCAGTCACCATGCCATTGATACAAAAAAAAGATAGTCCTTGTTTTCATAGAGTTTTAGGTGCTATAATAATGGCTATTATTGGCTGTCCAGGAAAGTAATGTCTAAAAGTTAAATATGGAACAAATGATTTTTCTAATGAGAGGTATGTGTGCATTTCTGCGATGAGTAGATTGCCATATACCTTGATTTAGAAGATATAATTTAGAGCATGGATTATGATACCAGATTGGTTGTCAGAATAAATCTGTGTAGTTTTTAAAAGATTTAGGTTCCTGGATATTATTCCTAGAGATTTTATTAATATGGTTATAAAAATTATTTTAAAATTGAGGCTATAATATGTTTTAAATTTACTAAACTAATGATTTAAAAGAAATCCACATTTTGTTGAAGTATGTTGCAATTTAAAAAATAAAAATTCATATATTTTCCTATGGGCCTTAAGATACTTAATATCTTATGGATGGTTTGTGGGTAGCTTCTTAGAGTTACGTTGTGAATTCTTCAACTGAAATATTTTCCCCATTAGAATCTTATTTAAAAGTAGATACATAAAATTCTATTATGTGTTACATTCAAGAGAAGATTTTTCTTTTTCTCATCCCTTGAGTGTAGATAATACTACTAATAAAAATGTTGTGATTCTATGAAGTAGTCTACTCTGGTTTATAAGTCAAAACAGCAGTAGCCTTAATTTTTATGTTGTTCAAAATTGGAAATAGAAAAAAATATCGTATGGGAATTATACATACATAAATGTAGATACAAAGCTGTAACTATTTTAATGATGTTCCGAAGAAGTAGAGAAAAAGGCCCTGGGAAGGAATCTTAACCTTTAAAATAGGAACTTTTCAGGGTATTTTGGGTGTAGGGTCTCCCAGGAAATACTCCGGAGGTTTTCCAGGGCTCTAAACAGCTGTGCTTGGGGGTCCATGTGGTGCTGGGGATTGAAGGAAAGCAAGTGTTCAATGTCTTTGGCACCTTTGTTGTCATGTTGCAAGTTAGTGTTCTTAGAGTTCTGAAGGAGTCTCAGAGTTACTTCATATGGCAACTTGATTTACTCTAGGAGGTAGGAATGAAACCATCCCCCATTTTTTCTTAGATTCCAATAACATTTACGAAATTGATGATTTTAAAATGGGTTTTGTTGAATGCGGTGGCTGTTTGGTATGGGGGAAAGTGTTGATTTTAAGTGAAAAGTTTAGTAATGTGCTCAGTTTCTTGCTTTGAAGTGTCATTAGGTAATTTAAAAACTACAAAGGCCTCTTAGTTGATTTTCTGAGGTCTAATTCAGTGGAGTTTTGTGAAATGAAGTGATGAATATGTATTTAATACAGACTTCTCATACTAGAGAAACGACTGAGGTTTGTTTCTGTTGCTGTTATTTTTAATTTTTAGGGAGAATGATGAATCAGTGAAAGAAGAGAAATCTGAGTTGAAGGAGAAAACGACAGGAAATAAGAAGGCCAATAGATTTCATCCTTATTCGAAAGAAAAGAATGCAGCCGCTGGAGAAAAGAAGGGCCCAAATCGTAACCGGGTTTTCATTAGCAATATCCCATACGACATGAAATGGCAAGCTATTAAAGATCTAATGAGAGAAAAAGGTAACCATCTCTGATAAGCCCACTTTTGGACCTTCTTCAGATAGAAGTGGGAGGGAGCTAGGCAGACCATTTTTTTATTCCTCTGAGCCACACAGACTCAAAATTGATTTTTATTTCTTGACATATAAATTAGTCTTTCCTCCTCTTTCACTTCACACAATTTCTTCACAAGGTAGTATGGATAAATGAAGCATATCTATTTTTTGCCCTTTTATTGGGATCGTAGTGAGCCAGCATATATGCATGCCACCAAGAATTTTGTTAAAGTGATTGCTTTGTCTCGTTGAAGTTTTTTTTATAGACTTTTAAAGGATCATTGCATTAGTTAAGAAATACATTTAGCGTGTTAAAGTATGAATATAATAAGGTCTGATTTTTTTCCCAAAAGCTGCTTTGTTATATCTTGGTGGAGTCTGGAATCTGGCTGTGGAATTCACTTTGTTTGCATTGTCATGACTGCTCTGATGCTGCCTCTGCAGTTCTTTATTAAAATTGTGTTACTGCTGTTGCAGTTTTGCTCTTAGAATAACCTGAATAATCTTTCATTTATAATAGTTTGTTTTGGGGAAAAATAATTTTAATACTGATCTTGTAAAAGTTAGTTTTGTATCTCTTGAAAAATTGAGTTTCAACAGTCTGCAAACTATGTACTTGGCTGTGAGGCTGATCTCTTCTAATAAATTTAAAATAAAATTGCATTGGTGTGTCTGTTGTAAGGTGACAACTATTTGATTGGTTTTATTCATTGACTTTATTTAGAAAGTGTGTGGCTTGCTGTGAAGCATGACGTGTAAATTTAGCTTACTGATGGCAAACATGATTGAAGACATTCAGGTAGAAAGTCACCTTAAAACAGCTGTTGTGTGTCGGCGACCAAAGTTATTTGAAACTTGCTAACGTTGATGTTTTTTAATATGATAGGCTAAGGGATCATTTGTATGTATATGTGCATTTGTTCACCAACTATATCATGCTGGCCAAAATATGATCTGTAGTATGAATTAGGTTAACATGGTTGTTAGCTTTTTTAGAGAATGTGGATGATGTACATTTCTGAAAATTAGTTAAATTTACATTGCCATTGACAGGAGGTATGTTGGTCTGGTTTTTATTGTTGGTGAATAATAGGTGCTTTTCTGTAGAGTTGTGCACAGGTGTGCAGTAAAGCAAGATATTGGTGTTTAAATGTATTGTTTCTTGGTATCTTCCTTTTGTATGTCTTATGTAGTTGGTGAGGTTACATACGTGGAGCTCTTTAAGGATGCGGAAGGAAAATCAAGGGTAAGTGCTGTGGGCAATAATTTGCTTGAGGTTTAAAAGTTCCTCAGCAGTTTACTTTTTGTATAATACTTGTACAAGTTTTTTGAAACTTAAGTTTCATTTTTTTTAACTTTATTATATAGCAAGATTTGAGGCTTTATATTAGCAAGTTTGACACATATACAAACCAAACTAGTTTCCTGGAAGGGATGGGCTTTGTAAATGCTCATAAAAGGCATTCACTTTTCTAATGCTCTAAGGTAATGCTTCTTCCTAGTCAACATATTTTAATTTAGGATATTTTTGTTGTGTTTCGATTGTCGTCAAGGATATTTTAAAAGTCACTGAATGGATAATCTTAAGAGTTTTATGAGGCCTATAGCATACAGGTGTTAATTCAGAATGTATGTTTGAAACTTACACTGAAAACTTAATTTGATAGCCCTGCAGGACTACTTAAGAGGTAGTACTCTAACCAATTGGTTTGTATGATGATGAATAAATTGACGAAGAAGGATTTGGTGGATAGCAGATTTTGGATTTTAGCAATAAGAATGCGATATGCTGAATAGTGTAATGTAAGCTCTTAACATTGTTTAATTATATTAATGAAAACCATTTGGGTGCATGAAAAATAAAGAATGTCATCTCACTCAAACAGTTAAATAATGACAATAATAATAATCACAAGGATTTATGTAAGAAATTATTCTGCAACTTCATTTATTTGGTATAGATGATGTTCTTTGCATAGATAACTGGATGCTGTTAATTTGTATGCACCAGTTTTCCTTTGAAGAGAACTTTGTTAAAAATGAGATTACCCTTTTCTTTTTGAATTTTAATAGAATTGAAAAATGCACACTAAAAACTACTTGTACAGAATACGTTCTTTGAATTTTTTTCTATATAAGGAAATGCTTATTGGATAATTAAATTATTTCCTTCAATTGCTTCTTGATTGAATTTGTACAATAAGATTACTTTTGACTTAATAAAATAGAAATAAAAAAGTGCTCCAACTTTAAAACTTAGACGATTGTGGTCATTTGTCTCATATATTCCAGAGGTGTGAAAGACAAAATTTGATTACATTATTGCTTTTAATGATTTAAATGTTATCTACCATTAACTTCATCTACTAATCTAGCATACTTTTTCTTTTGCATATTATTTATTGACAAATCTACCTGGATTATAGGGCTGTGGGTAAGAACTTCTTTCTTTCTAAGTATTTTAATTAAGTAATAAAATTTATGATTGTAGAAAGTATTAGTATATAAATATTTTCTTTAATTTTTTTCCCATTAAGTGTGGTTGAATTCAAAGATGAAGAATTTGTCAAGAAAGCACTAGAAACTATGAACAAATATGATCTTAGTGGAAGACCATTGAATATTAAAGAGGTAATATTTCTTTTATTCGGAATAATTTAAACAAATAGAAGGACACTTGATTTCTTTTGTCTTTGTTAATGTATATATTTGACTACAACTTTTTAAAAAGCATAAGCTGGTTATCAAAGCATCATATATTGATAGTGGTCTACTTGTACACCCTTAAGCAGTTTTTATGTGCTTTGGATTTGTTTCAGGTTTTGATTGATTTTTTTAAAAATTTCAGGAATTAATACATTTAGATACAGCAAATTTTAGATGCTGAATTTATCTGACATAGTCATCTGCAATGTTCAGATTGTATTGTTTTGAGAAATATAGCAGATACTCTTAGAGTTTGCTTAACAATGCAGCTTTAGAGATCTGGGTTTTGAAGCCGTTATCTGGAGACGCCTGAGGCCTACTCTCACCTCTGTGCTTCGGTGTTGCTCTCAGCAGTGCTCAGGGAACCTTGTGGTATCAGAGATCTTCTGGGATGGGTGGCATGCAGGGAAAGTGCCTTATCCTTTGTACTATCTCTCTGGCCCCTGGATTGAATAAAATTGATACTCAATTTACAATGATATTAAATTGAAACTCAGATTAAAATTTTAAGGAGTTTAAATCTATTAGCAAAATTTATAGCTGTAATTTGAAAACCCCAAACATGTTCCCTTTGTATGGAATTATTGCATTGTAAATGACTGATGAAAGGATGATCAGAGGAGATATTGACAGCTATTCACAGAATAATTGATCCTGGGATTATATATAACTGTTAAATGGTTGCATTTTAACGTTATATAAGTATGTAAAAATGTATATATTTGCTAAAACCTGTTTTAAAAAGTATAGTGGATACTTGGAATGCTGAAGAGAATTAAAGTGACTGCTTATTACTCATAGTAGAGCAGTACTGTCAGCATTTAACTTAATACATCAGTGATTTAAGTCCTTGTCAAAGTGATTTGAGTCTCAAGCATATTTTATCTTTGTGACTAGGCATATTAACTATTCTCTAAACCTGATAGTTATAATATTACCACTGATAATAGATGTTACTAATAGAGATTTTATGAGGATTAAATGGGATACGAGGTAAAAACTTTGCCCTAGGAGCTGAGTAGGTGGTTTAGAGGGCTGAAGCATATACTTTGCATTTCAAAGCCAGGTTGTAAGGACACTGGGGAGTACCCTCCATCCTTAGCAGCTCTGCGTGTAGCCCCCAAATTCTCCAAAATAAAAAATCTTAAAACAACAGCAAACAAAATGTCCAACCTCTCTATTCCCTTATTATCAAGATGTGAGTAATATGAATCTTTCTTACAGTGTCATCAAGACCAAGTGAATTAAGATATGTAAAACATTAAATGTTAGTATAATTGTGATATATAACTCTACACACATGCACATATATATGTATATGTATATATGTTACGTAACAGTACTCCAAGTATTGTAACTACATAAAGTTAGCAGTACGAATAATAGTATTATGATTGTTATTCTTCCTATCCACAGTGGAAATGCTCAACAAAGATATGTACCCCAAACACTTTTGAACTCCTTCAATTCTGTTTGAGGGGTGAGAGTGATCTATTTCTTTCAACATTTTGGAAATAAAGAATTAGTAGAATTCACGCAGGGATTTATTTTGTGGGGGGACTGTAGCTGGGATAAAGCACGGGGCCTCACACATGTAAGGTGTGTGTTCTGCATTGAACTACAACCCCAGCCCCAGTAGAGAAAATTCAAACTGTTGTAGGCTTTGGCGGGTACTTAATGGGCAAGGGTTATTTGGGTTTTGCTGGGTTTCTTCAGTGGCATTCATGAGTTCGGTGGGCCACACCTAGGAATGTTGGGGCCAAGCATGTGCACAGTTTTGGATGAGACACTCTGGCCCTACAGTGCCAGAACCACCAGGATCATGACTGGTGATGCTCAGGGGATTCTATGATGCTGGGCGTCAAGCCAGGGTCAGGCTCCAGGCAAGGCAAGTGCCTTAAACCCTTTAGTAGCGTTCTCACCTTTTTCTCTTTTCATTTTATGTTTTGAATTCCACCTAGTGAGTTGAATGGAAAGTATATAAAATTTTTTGTTTTGTTTTGGGACCATACCTGGTGGTGCTCAGGTGACCATATGCCGTACTAGGGATTGAACCTGGGCCAGTCATATCCAAACCAAGTGCTATCCACTGTACTATCATTATTACCCCCTCTAAATTTTTCTTGTTTAAAAATAAATATATCTCTTTATAAAGTTAATAAAATGAAAAACAAGCTCTCTATATATGTACACACATGTATGTGTCTGTGTATATATATATGAATATATATGTATAATTTTTGTGTGTGTGCTGAGACACTTCACCATTCTTTTCCCTTCCTCTCAGATCGTAATCATTTAAGTTGGAATAGGGATAATTGTATATGGTACAGGAATGAAACAGTAATAGTTCCTTTGTACCTGTGCATTTAATTTTTGTGCCTTTGGTGGCTTGGGGATACTCTTTTCTATGCCTGGATTGCTGTTGGTGGTGCTCGAGGGACCAGGTGTTTCCAGGGATTGAACCCTAGCCTCCTCCATGCAAAACATTCACTCAGCCTGTTGAGCTGTCTCCAGACTCGACCCCCTGAATTCTTGGACTTTATAACATTCTATTCCACTGTTGAAAAACTTTCAGTTAGTCTTAGTTTCGTATTTCAATGGGCATACAGTGGTGAGGAATTCACCATTTTGGAAAGAAAAGCGGCACAGTAAGTATTTCTTTTTGAGCTATATGGATGTATTATATCACAATATATGATGGCAGAATTAAACTAATTTCAAGTTCTTAAGTGACTTTAGTGATTGGAAAGAGGTATATTTAACTGACACTCCTGGAGACTGAAATCTTTTGTCTGTCCACAGGTTTTTATTGGACTGAATTCTTTGGATGAGAAAAAGGCTTACTCTTCAAGAGGGTCAATAATTTCAGCCAGATGGGATAGCTACTGTAGAATTTGAAGTTGTTATTTTAATTAAATAGTTTTATTGATGTATCTAGTGGCATTTAACATTCAATATGTGTTATAGGATCCTGATGGAGAAAATGCTCGTAGGGCGTTGCAACGAACAGGAGGATCATTTCCAGGAGGACATGTACCCGATATGGGATCGGGGTTGATGAATTTACCGCCTTCCATTCTCAATAATCCAAACATTCCTCCTGAGGTTATCAGTAATTTGCAGGCTGGTAGACTCGGTTCCACAATTTTTGTTGCTAATGTAAGTTAAGCTTCAGTCTAAAATTTTGTCATTCAGATATTTAGTTCTAATTGTGAGAGTAATCAGATGAATCAGTTACTGATTTATAGAATACTTTGCTGTTATTATAAACAAGCTTTTAAAAGTCTGTAAGGTTAGAGTATACATAATATGTTGAATGTTTTGCAGGAGAACTGTGCAATTTAGACACAAAAGCGGTTCTTAAAATTACTGTGTGTGACTTGTATTGAAAATGGCTTTTTTGGGTTTAGCTTTGATATTTGTGAATATGCCTGTTGTCGTTAGTTTGTTATTCCAAGGTTTTGGAAGTCAGCAATAAAATTTTTAAAATCTGAACTTTTCTCAGTTAAACTAGATGTACAGGTTTCAGTTGTAAAAGGATTGAGCAGTTGAGTTACTTGTTTAGGGAACTAAAAAAATTAAGGAGAGGGAACAACATAGATGTAGCTTTCCTGATTTTAAGATATTTTATTTGAACAAGATTTATTTAACAAGAATTAGAATTTGGTAGTGTTGAGAATTTAGAAATTTTTGTATTTATAAATGGGGCAAAGGGTTTTATTAGGTATATAACTTTATGATTTTATGTTAAGCTTGACTTCAAAGTTGGTTGGAAGAAGCTAAAGGAAGTGTTCAGCATAGCTGGAACTGTAAAACGGGCAGATATTAAAGAAGACAAAGATGGCAAAAGCAGAGGAATGGGCACAGTCACTTTTGAACAAGCGATTGAAGCAGTGCAAGCAATTTGTATCCTGATTTACACTTTAGTGTTTTCAAAATAAGAGTGTACAGCTTGGTGCAATTTGTTGGAAGTCCTGGAATTTAAGGTTGCCTGGCTTAGAAATGTGTTTTAGACTTTAGTCTCCAGTGCATAAAACCTTTTCTATGTCCAAGTACTAAAGTCACTCTTAAAACTTGAAATAGCCATATTGTATGGATTTGAAATGCACCCTATTCTACTTTTTTTACAAGAGCTAATCATATGCAGTTATGTAGTCCATTGTATTAAAATTCTATTCCTTTCAATGAAGGAATTTTTGTTTCATTTGGAATAGTTTCACTTAAAAGATTATATTTTATATGTAAAATACAGATGCAAGAAAAAAATTGAAGATGTTTCTTTGAGTATACAGAAGAGACGAGTACAGATAAATAAGATATTAAAAGATGATGAAAATGTTAAAACGTTATCCTAATAAGATTGTTAAAAATGTGTTTCTGTTCAAGTGTACTTGTATAGTTATTTTAACTGACTTTCCTTGACTGAACCAACAGCCATGTTCAATGGGCAGTTTTTGTTTGATAGACCTATGCATGTGAAAATGGTGAGTTCCTATATATCACTTTAACCCTCCAGTCTCTTTGTCTTTCATCTACTCTTTTACATTCCAGATTTTTAAATTATACATTAACCATTTGATAACTCTTTTGCAAATAGGATGACAAGTCTGTACCTCATGAAGAATACCGTTCACATGATAGTAAAACACCGCAGTTACCACGTAAGTAAAATTTGTTATTTGAAACAGTACAAACGATCCATGTTCAATTTTATATGCTAAGCTAGGCTCTCTGCTTTTGTTTTAATGTATTTTTCTCCTTTTTTATAAATTTATAAACGACAGAGCCTGGCAAGCTATCCGTGGTGTACTTCATATGCTGAAAACGGTAACAATGATGATCCTCTTTCCCCTGACCTGTAAGAGCCCCCAATATGCCATTGGGCTACACTAGCATATGTCAGGGACGAATGGAGATGTTACTGGCGCCTGCTTGAGCAAATTGATGAACAACAGGAGGACAGTGATACAGTGATAAATTTATTGACTCACCGTGAGAGCAGTTATAAAGCTTTTGGGTTTAAATCTCAGTCATACAGTGATGAAACACATGTCCCTTCACCAGTACCCATTTTCCACCACCAAAAACCCCAGTATGCCCCCATTCCACACCCTCCTCCTACCTGTGGGGCAGATGATTTTCACATTACTCTCTCTCTTTGATTTCTTTCAATATTTCCACCCCAGATCCACCATTATTATTTGGGATTTTACCCCAGCATGCAGATCTGCCGAAAAGGCAACTGTAGACAATTTGTTTTCTATTGCTGGTTATGAATAACAGATGATGATGTGTGGTTGCAGTAGTGGCTGCATGATTTTGGAATTCCAAAATTTTAACAGTTAAATCTGGAGGGATTTCTGCCAAAACCTGCTAGGTTCCGAGATTTGTTCCTGAGTCTCTGGAATCATGATTGTTAAGCAGCTTGATTAGAAGCCAGAGAGGCTGTTTGTGGGTGGCGACTCAGGGTCTCGTTGGGGCATGAGGAAAGGGCCATGAGGCCCCAAGTATCTCATCACTGAGGGCCCAGACCTGACTCTCCAATTACCTCTGGAGCATAGAGGCCACCGAGCCGCCAGGGGGAACAGGCCAAGGCATGAAACCTATTCCCACCTGGGGTGGCCCAGTGACGGTAACCTACTGTGGGGACCGGATGCATTTCTGCCAAAAGCCACTGGGTTCTGAGATTTGTTCCTAAGTCTCTGAAATCAGGGCCATTAAGCAGCTTGATCAGGAGCCAGAGAGGCCGTTTGTGGGCCGTGACTCAGTGTCTCATTGGGGCGAGGAGGAAAGGGCCAGCTCCAACCCCATCCAATGAGGCCCTGTGTGTCTTGTCACTGCAGGCCCAAACCTGACTTTCCAGTGGTCTCTGGAGGATGGTGGCCACTGAGCCACCAGGGGAACAGGCCAAGGCATGAAACATTTATTTTCACCAGGGGTGGCCCGGCACTGGTAACCTACTGTAGGGTCTGCTGCACACATTTCTACCAAAAGCTGCTGGGTTCTGAGATTTGTTTCTGAGTCTGGGATCATGGCAGTTCAGCAGTTTGATCAGGAACCAGAGCGGCCTTGCCTCTAATTATACAGCTGAGCCGGAGGTGGTTTGTGGGTGTGTCTCCCACATACCTAACTTTTGGCCATTTACTTTGAACAACGGGAGACAGTGACAATGACAGTGACTTTCTTGGTAAACTTAACCCCAAGTTGTAGGGGTCTGGCCAGAGGCACAGCAGCAATTGTGGGGTATCTAGAAGTGTGAAGGCACCATCAGGCTGCTGATACACTGGCCTTACTGTTACAGATTGACCTGCTGGCGGCACCGTACCCCCTTGTTTTACTATATTCCATGTTGTCCAGATATTAGAATTAGAATCATTCTGGCATAATATAAATAATATAAACTAGCTCCTATTCCTACAATTGCACTGTGTTTTTTCGGGATATTAAAGTTTTTACCATAATTTTTTCAACATGCAGACAAAATAAAATTATTCATGTGGCTGATACATGCCATATTTATTTTTTATTTTATTTTACAATCACTGTCCTCCCACTGTTCATCGATTTGCTGGAGCGGGCCCAGTAACGTCTTCATTGGAGACTTTGTTGTTACTGTGTTTGGCATATCGAATACATCACTGGTAGCTTGCCAGGCTCTGCCGTGGGGGCAAGGTACTCTCGGTAGCTTGCCGGGCTCTCCGAGAGAGGCGGAGGAATTGAACTTGGGTCGGTCATGTTGACTATGTGCAAGGCAAACGCCCTACCACTGTGTAAAATTTTTCAAATAGTTTTATTTTCCAATTCCCCAGGCCATTTCCCACCAGGTCCCTTACGCATCAACAACTGATGCCTCATATTTATCACTTACATTTCAATGTATGTTTATGTGTCCCTAAGCATTATGTGGACTTGTTTTGATGCATGTTAAGTTGGGTGTTCATGATGTCTTATTATTTATAATTGTGTGTAACTTACTGATTTTGATGAATACTCTTTTTAATTAATTTATGTTTATAGATGTAGCTCTGATTCCTTCCTTTTTGTGTGGGGTGAGCATACCCTGCAGTTCTCAGATTCAACTCTAGTTCTGTGGCCCGGAGTCACAACTGATGGTGATGGGAGGTTCACACAATACAGGGGATCAGATCTGGGTGTCCTTTATGAAACAAATGCACTCAGCCCATTAAGCTCTCTAGACTTAATTCCATATTAACACCTGATTCCGTGTTTTATTTTATTGTTTTTTGTTAGATTATCCTGCTTTTTTATTTGAAGCAATTCTAAGTGGAGAGATTTTATTTTTATATTAAAATAATTTGTTCTGTCTTTGCGGGAGATCACTCAGAGGGGCTGAAAGGGAGACTCTGAGGTAACTGATGGCCTCCGAACACTGCCACAGTTGGTTCTAACAGTATTTGCTCAAAATTTCTTGTAAAACTGTGGCTATCAGACACTGGGAAGACTACAACTGAATTTTTAAATTTTGTACTGCTTCTTGAGTAAATTCTGGTAACTCCTGTTTAAGAATTTTTCATTTTCAGGTTTATTGGCATAGATACTGGCATAGAAATTAAGTCTGCCACATCGTTGTTTTTTTTTCCTTTTGGGGTCACACCTGGCGATGCTCAGGGGTTACTCCTGGCTCTGCACTCAAAAATTACTCCTGGCAGTGCTCAGGGGACAGATGGGACACCAGGGATCAAACCCGGGTTGGCCGCATGCAAGGCAAACATCCTACCCACTGTACTATCACTCTGGCCTCAGATCGTTGTTTTTTAAGTTATTAAGAAGCTACAAGCAATTTCTCTTTTTGCTTGGTTAATTTTATTTAGAGATGTATTTTGCTATTCCTTTAGAAAATGAGATGAATTTCATTTTCTCTGTCATGATTTCTGCTCTCTACATTTGAGTTTAGTTTGAGTTTTGTTCTGACTTCTTGAGTTGACTACTTCACTCATTTCTTTCATCTTTTTAAAATAGATAATCTGACTATAAATTTGGTTGCTATGAACAGGTTTTGCCATAGAATATTTTTGTTCTAATTTGATTTTTAACATATTACTAAATTTCTGTTATCTATTTATAAGCCATGTATTTTTGAATTTTCAAACATTTGAAGAATTTGTCTTTTTAGTTTCTAACATAAAAGTGTGCTCTCAGATGGTCAATATTTAATTTTTTGGGATTGATTTGGATATAATATTATAGCTAAAATATGACACATTTTTATAGATATTACAGTTCTGTGAATATTCATTAGATTACTAATTATTTTAATTGTCATCCCTACTAATATTTTACCTTCTTTTACTATAATTGAGGCCCATTTGGTAATATCTCACTAAAATAGTGATTTTACCTGTTTCTTTCTTTTTACTTTTTTTTTTTTTAAATTATTTCTTTATTGAATCACTGTGGGAAAAGTTACAGAGCTTTCGGGTTTAGGTCTCAGTCATGTAAATATCAAACACATTTCCCTTTACCAATACTTATTTTTAACCCCGAACCCCAATAGACCCCCACCTCCCACCCCTCCCAATTCTTGTGAGGCAGATGAGTTCTAGTTAATACTCTATCTACTTTGACTAGATAGATTGTTTCGATAGAAGATGCACAATTATTGTTTAGAGTTTACGACCCACCCCCCACAATCAGATATGCTGAAACAGCGTTGTGAAATGATTTGCTTTCTACAACTTGGTTTAAGAATAAAATGATGTTGCGCGGCCACGGTTTTGGATTTCTGCTATTTTACTTATTGACCCTGGAAGAATTTCTATTAAAAGTTAGCTAGTTAAGAGATTGGTTTCTGTGCCCTGGAGTCGTGGCCGTGCCGGAGAGCCGCTCGTGGGGGGCAGCTGGCGACCTCGGTGGGGCGTGGGGGACGGCCCACAAAGCCCCCCTTCCCATGAGGTCCCCGCCGCTCCCCCGAGCCCGGCTCAAACCTGCTGTCCACAAGGCTCCCGTGCGGCCGCCATCTTTCTTTCCAGAGAGGAGCGGGCGGGCCGGTCAACACCCTTTCCCCTCCGGGCAGCCTTGGTGGCGCGGTTTAACGCCTAGTCCATTTGCTTTTCTGCTCCAAGCGGCTTTTTACTTTTTAAATATGTTTTTTAAATATTTTTTCACTTTTTAAATATTTTCGACAGAGCCTGGCAAGCTCCCTGTGGCGTATTCCATATGCCAAAAACAGTAACAACAAGTGTTACAACGGAGACGTTACTGGTGCCCGCTCGAGCAAATCGATGAACAATGGGAGGACAGTGCTATGGTGCTAAATAGTTTTAATTTATCTTAGGTACATTGAAATTGAGAACTAGTACATTTTTCTACAAAATCGAATTTGATCATTAAAGTGACTATCTCCAGTGGTTGTAAATAACCACAAGTGGTTATTTTGCGGGCAGAGGGTAGTTAGTTAAGATTAGGAGGGTTCAATATAATAGCTGGAAATGATCACTCTGGACAATAACTGAGTGGTGGTGAGAGGGAGGGAGGGAAGGCGGGAGGGAGGGGGGAGAGAGAGACAGAGAAGAGAAGGGAGGAAGGGAGAGAGAGAAGAGAGGAAAGGAGGGATGGAGGAAGGGAGGAAGGAAAGGGAGATGCCTGCCATAGAGGTAACCTGGGAGGGGCTGAGGAGGGGGTAAACTGGGGACATTGGTGCTGGGAAATTACGCTGGATGAGTGTTGGAACATTGTATGACTGAAACCCAGTCACGAACAGCTTTGTAATGCTCTATCTCAAGATGATTCAATTAAAAATAAATAATTTTGCTTTAGAGTTCAGTCTAACCTGGAAGCTACTTAAAAAAAATGACTATCTTTAATAACTAGTTCTGAAGTTTTTTTCTAGTTTTATGTAGATTAAATAATCTTATTTATTCATGTCTGTTGATTTGTTTGGATTCCCATTATCTTATGTATGTTTTTTTATTGTTTTTCAAATATTTATTTTTAGTGGCTGTCCTAGATATTTTATTAAGATCCGTGTACAGTCTTAAAATTAATATAATTCCTTTACTCTCCTTTGAGTGCTTTACTTCTAATCATATTCTTTTTTTGTAATTTTTATTAGTGAAATACCATGAGGTACAGTTGTAGACTTACAAATTTTTGTGCTTGGGTTTCAGTTATACAATGATCCAGTACTCATTCCTCCACCAGTGCCCATTCTCCACCACCACGGGTCCCAGTATTCCTCACACCCCCATCCCCCCATCCCACCCTGCCTCTGTGGCAGGGTATTCCCTTTTGTTCTCTCCTTTTGGGTGTCGTGGTTTGCAAAGGAGGCAGTGGGTGGCAGTCATATTTGGTCTATAGTCTACTTTCAGCATGCTTCTCCCATCCTGGGAGGATCCTCACAACACCCTTTATTTGGTGCTCCCTTCTCTATCTGAGCTCCCTTTTCCCCTAGCATGTGTGGCTGACCTCCAGGCCATGGAGTAAACCTCCTAGTACTAATCTCTGCTATTCTTGGGTGTTAGTCTCCTATTTTCTTACTTTATGTTCCCCAGATGAATGCAATCTTTCTATGTCTGTCCCTCTCTTTCTGACTGATTTTGCTTAACATGATACTTTCATGTAGTACCACTTGTATGTAAACTTCATCTTTTCTAACAGCTACATAGTACTCCATTGTGTAGATGTACCAAAGTTTCTTTAACCAGACATCTGTTCTTGAGCACTCAGGTTTTTTCCAGATTCTGGTTATTGTAAAGAGTGCTGCAATGAACAAACAAGTGCAGATCTCATTTTGACTATACTTTTTTGCCTCTCTGGGATATATTCCCAGGAGTGGTATTGCTGGGTCAAGTGGGAACTCGTCTAATCACATTCTAAGTGAATTTATGCTTTTAATGCTTAAATGTTTTAGTTCTGTATTTTTTAATTCTATAAATGAGACTATTATTTGCAATTTTATATTTTATGTCTTGTGTTTTCACAGATTTGGAACTAGTATTTCCTCCTGAAAAATATATGTACATTTTATAACTATTCTTTTGAGATTTATATTTATTTATTTTCTTCTCAGGATAGAACTAGACTAAACAGAATCAGTTAATTTTGGTTAAGCTGATCATACCAAATCTTCCAGTTTTGTTTTTCTTTTTTCCTTTATCTCAAAATATAAAACTCCAAAAATTTGAGTTTCATACTTATATCCTTAGTACTCTAATTGCTTGATAAAAGTAGGATTTCCAAGATTCTTTTAAAAAGTTTTTAGGGGTCTGGAATGATAGTCCAGCGGGTAGGGTGTTTTCCTTGCACGGCCGACCCGGGTCCAATTCCCAGCATCCTATATGGTCCCCTGTGCATCACCGGGTATGACCCAAAAAAGAAAAAAAAGATTTTTAAATGACTGAGTTTCAGTCATACCACTGTCAGCTTCCCTCCACCAATGCCCCGTCAGTGCCCCCACTTTTCTACCATCCATCAGCCTTTTTCTACAAGAGGCAGTCTGTATGTGTGTGTGTGTCTGTGTGTGTGTTTGTGTGTGTGTGTGTGCGCGCGCACGTGTGCACGCATGCCCTTTGTACTGTGGTTTACAGTACTCTTGTGGATAGGGTTTGAGAACCTTTCAGCACCATCTCCTCATCATGGTTGAATGCTACCCTCTACCACTGACATTGCCGGCTCCCTGTCTATTTCCCACTCCCCTCAACTGGTATGCTTTCTTCTGAATGCCAGTTCTCATGTTCTTTGTTTCTATTTCCTTTGGGTATCAGGAATTTCCCTATTATGTTTCTTTTTTATGTCCAAATATGCGAGAGATCACCTTTGTCGATCTCTCTCCCTCTGACAAACTTCACTAAGTACGATACTCTCCAGATTCCTCCATGAGCAGTGATTTTCATGACTTCATCTTTTCTTATGTCTGATATAGGAATTGATATTCTACCAGAATATTGTTCTTATTTCAAGACATGGGATTGTCCTACTATCAAGGAGTCCTGGTTCCAGTTTGTGAAGATTAATATTCGAGATGAAAATATGGGTTCTAGGAGTAGACTTGAACTTTGTGTTTCATGAAATATGCTCTTGCTTTTAATTCAGCCACTTTAGAGACTGAACTTGAAAAGGGCATTTCTTTTCCCAAGTAATGTTGCTTTTTCCAATTTCACACAGTGTTTTGCTGTACTCGTCTGTACTCTATTCTTCACTATTGTGTCCTCCATTGAGCAGCAAAACTTGAAAACCATGCTCAAATTTGTTAGAGTAAAACAGTTTCCATCCAAATGTTCATTTAGTTATATTATCTTTAAAGTATATCAGATTATTTTCTATAAGGTATATTTTTTATGATTTAAGAGAGGTAATTATTACTGGATTTAGAAGGAGAAAACTTAATTCAAATCTTAGCTTAATCACATAGCTGAGTAGCTTTGTGCAAGTAACTTAAGATGTCAAAACTTTGCTCATCTATTAATAAAAACTTTCAGGGTGCCATATAAAATATAAATCAGTGCATCAGTTTCTCAATATTACGTACATAGGGAGTGGGTGTGGGGTGCCTCCTAAGCCCTAAATGATACTCAGAAGACTGATCTCTCCTGGCAGTTCTCTGGCAATCAGCTAGCACTCAGTGCAAGGACCTGAAGATGCAGTGTTGTGAGGGTCCTGCAGTGCTGGAGATTATCAGGTCATCCTGGTGGTATTTGGTGGCTCTCCAGCGCCACACTTGGCGATCCCCTTGGTGATGCTTGGGATACCATGTGGTGCCAGGGATAAAACCAGGGTCAGCCTCATGGGACGATTGTGCCTTAATCCTGTACTGTTGTAATTACTCAGTGTTTAGTATGACTTGAACTATGTAAAAATAATTGTCATGCGGGAGAAGATAGTACCACGGGTATGGTTATTCTCTCACACTTTGATTTGGGTTCAATCCTTGGCATCTTATGGCCCCAGCGTACCACCAGGAGTGATTCCAGAGCCAGGAATGAGGCCCAGGCACCCTATCTTCCATCCCCTCCAAATAACTTTGAGGTTAAGTGGCTCTACAAATTCCGGCATGTTTCTTTTTCAGGTATGTTATTAAATGATGCAATATTAAAAACCCTTTTGGCATTTCACTAATCTCTCTTTGGGGGAACCTGGGATCGTGGCATACCTGCTGGTGCTCAGAGGACTGTGCGGTGTGAGTCATGCTAGCTCCAGCACTTTGGACTGTCTCCCTTGCCCCTTCCTAATTCTTTGTAATACACTTAAAAGAATGTATTTTATTTACTTTTTTATTTATTTAAAATTTTTATTTTTGAAACATGTAAGACACTTTTAAGTCATATATGACCTTCATAAAACGACTTGTTAATAAAAGTATTAAATAGTGAGGCTTTGCTGTGTTGTGTTCTCAATAAAACAAAAGCCAGCTCTCTTATTTTATAAATTAATAGAACTTTGAATTGCTAGCATAGGCAGATAGATAGTCTGATGTTTAGTGCTGGTTAATCATATATATTGGTAATACTGTTTGGTATTACTGTTGGTAATTGTAATTGATAATACTGTTCCTGTTGGTGTTTTAGGTGGCCTTGGAGGCATTGGAATGGGACTTGGTCCTGGCGGACAGCCAATTAGTGCCAGCCAGTTGAACATAGGTGGTGTAATGGGAAATTTAGGTCCAAGTGGTGAGTTTCTAACTTTTTAAATTTCATTTGCTACATTATAAAGTTTATGTCTACTTGTAAATTAAAGGACTCTTTTATAGTTGATTATGTCAGTATGAAGAGAGAAATAAAGCCTTCAAAGCAGAGGATGGGTGAAAGTCAAGCAGGTTCCTCCAAGGCCAACTGTATGATAGTGTCAGCCCTTAGGCACTGGGGATTTTGTCGTGTCTTTAAAGCAAAAGGAGAATGGTGTAATGCTTTGTAGATCATGAATATAGAATATTTTGAGTGACAGTTTAAAATGCTTTGATTGAGAAGATAGCTTTCAGACACCTGTTGTGTCTCTTCATCTGGACTAATTTGGGGTTTATTTTTGAAAAAGGTCTCTTAAGCTTTTTGGTTTCATAGCTCCTTTCTGTCCTTAAAATTTGTTGAGGGCCTCAACTGCTTTTTAGTGATTTTGAGTATTATATTAAAATAGTAAACATTCTGTTTATTAAGAGATAGACCCATATGTGTTGACACGAATAGAATTTTTAAGAAAATTGTGTTTTCCACAAAAAAGAAATTAATTAGGAAGAGTAGCTTTGTTTTTCTTTTGTAATATCTTTTGAATGTTTGGCTTAATGTAAGACAACTATGCTAATATATCTGCTTTTTTATTTGGTTTGTTAAAGATCATGTAGTTTCTAGAAAATTATACTTATGAGAGAATAAGTATAAAATAGCTATCATAGTAAAATTTAGTGAGTGAAGTAGTTTGGATTTATTGGACTCTCAGGGGTTCCCAAAACCATCGTTCTTTGATAACTACTGATTTAATTGATGAACTAATGCATGCTGTAATATTCTAATTTTTGTTGTTATGCTAGAGCTGTACTCTAGAGAGGAGTAAAAATAATTATTCTTACTCAAATAGCTAGAGATTTTCCACTTCCAGGTTTTTTAGAGGAACCCCATCTCTCTGTCTTGATCTGATATGCTGTTATCTACGTGGTATGCTGCAGAAAAATCAGTAGTAGTGATTTTTTTCTGATTCTGAGTAGTGATTCTTTTCTGGGAAAAAAAAAAACAATAATCTAGTCCTAGATGTTTTCTAACTAACTTTGAGTATCACCAATACATTTTGTTTCCTGTCTAATGATTATTTAAGGAGACCTTTCTGAAGACTCATGGTTGACCAGCTCCCTGCTGTGATAGCATCTTAAACCATCCCACTTGAGAGCCCTGCTGCTTCTCTAGTGTTGTGACCAGTGGTGGCTATTTTTTTGTATTGTGTTGTCATTCTTCAGTCACACAGACACAATTTAATGAAAGTACATGCTCTGTATTTTATTTGAGGTATGGGAATGGATGGTCCAGGTTTTGGAGGCATGAATAGAATTGGAGGAGGTACGTATAGTGTTTATTATATGTACCCATCACATTTTTTAGTAAATTGGAAACTGTTGAAAATTTTAAGGACAGTGTCCTAAAGAAATTGCTGGCAGAAAGTGAACTTGTTATATACTTATGGGATATGAAGGTGATGAGTTAAGCAGCTACCCAAGGTAGGGTGGGTGAAGGGCTCACTGCTAAGATTTAACATTTATAAAATGTACCTTTCAACTGTAAAACTGACAGTAAAATCTCAAAATTAATCTTTATTCCATAGGAATTGGGTTTGGTGGTCTGGAAGCAATGAATAGCATGGGAGGATTTGGAGGAGTTGGCCGAATGGGAGGTAGGCAAATGTATTGAGTGGGAAGTATGTATTTTATCTAGTTAACCTATTACTAAAAATTCCCTTCTTCACTTAGAAATGGGTAGATGTCTTCAGAGGGCATATGGGAACTAGGGGATAGGAAAAGTTATGATGGGAATGGGAATATGTGTGGCAAGTGAGGTAAGTTGGATAAATCACAGACTCTCCAGTATTTTGACTTTGCTTTATTTTCAGTTTAATTTTGTGTGTTCACAAATGAATCACTGTATATCACTGTACGTGGGAAATGGGCTAATTTGTTACATAATTTTTTCAGAGCTATACCGTGGTGCAATGACTAGTAGCATGGAGAGAGATTTTGGACGTGGTGATCTTGGAATAAATCGAGGCTTTGGAGATTCCTTTGGTAGACTTGGTAGGGCTGGAAGCATATTTCTTTCTTTTTTGCAGGTTATATATATATTTTTAAATTTTATCTTTTTTGTAAAAAATTGGAAGATGTTAATGTTTCATACAAGTTATTACTTAATAAAATACTTTAGGAATTTGCATGTATAAGTTTTTTTAGACTCTTACATACTTGAACACTTTCTAAAAAATTGTATTTCCAGTAATTATATCTTATGAGGGTTTATTACCTTGGGAATTTTAAAGTATGATTGTTTAATTAGTATATTTATTTTTTCATCCTTGTTTAGGCAGTGCAATGATTGGAGGGTTTGCAGGAAGAATAGGAGCTTCTAACATGGGTCCAGTAGGATCTGGAATAAGTAGGTTTAAATTTTTCTAGAATTTATTCAGTAATACTTGAGTGCTTGCAAAAGATTCTGCCAGAGTAGCTCTTGTAGTGTAGTATTAATTTATTTTTAAATGTTAGTATGTCTTATCATTATTTAAAAAAGTAACTTTGGGGCCAGAGCAACAGTACATCATATAAGGTGCTTGCCTCGCACACGCAAAACCTGGGTTCAATTCCCAGCTTCCCATATGGTTTCCCGAGCCTGGTTAGTAGTAATTCCTGAGTGCAGAGCCAGAAGTGACCCCTGAGTATTGCCAGGTATGACCCGAAAACGTAAAGAGAGAAAAAGAAAAATCCTGAACTGTTTGAACATCTTAAACGAGTTTTGAATCTTCCTTGACTTTTCAAAACTGATTTCCCCATAGTACATACATCTATAATAAATAATCCTAGAATTTCCTTTTCAACTAAGGAATCTGGGGTTATTTTATGTGTCAGGAACAATTTCTGCTTTTGCACAACCTTTGGTCCCTTTTTTACTCTAACTGCTATTGATAACTGACATTTTATCTGTGAACGTCTTGTGTCTTTTGTTAGATAAATTGCTCCAGATTCAGTATTTGAAAAAACAAAACAAAACAAAACCCTTCCTGAGATATACAGCAGATAGGGCATTTGCTTTGTATAAGGCAGACCCTGTTTAATCCCTGACACCCATGTAGTTCTTTCAGCCTCCACAGAAATGATCCCTTATTGCAGAGCCAGCTGTAAGCCTTGACCATTGATGGGTGTGACTCAAACAAAAAATCAATTAATTAATTAAAAAATAACCAAAAAATACTTCCTAAAATTGAGGTTTAAAGTTGAACAAAATTTTCCTTCTTTTCCTTCTAACATTTACCTGAGATAGAACTGAATTGTTGTAACACCGGGAATGTCTTCCATCTGTTTCCACTATTAGTCACATTAAGGCTTAATACATTGCTTGGTTTTGACCTTTATTGCTTACTAAACTGTCTCTGAGATCCCCATACTTTATTTTTATTTTATTTTATTTATTTATTTTTGCTTTTTGGATCACACCTGGCGATGCACAGGGGTTACTCCTGGCTCTGCACTCAGGAATTACCCCTGGCAGTGCTCAGGGGACCATATGGGATGCTGGAATCGAACCCGGCTTGGCCGCATGCAAGGCAAGCACCCTACCCGCTGTGCTATTGTTCCAGCCCCAATACTTTATTGATTTCCTTTAATTAATTGAAATCTCTTGAATAGGGAAAACAGCCTATTTGAATATACTAAATTCTGTTGGCTAAAATTACCTGCTTCTATTGTGCCTTTTTTTTCAGTCCTCCTTTCATCATCTTTTTAGCCTTGACTCATTTCTCTATTCATTTTAACTTCCCTACTTTCCCTTTTCACCTCAGTATTTGTAGTTTTGTTTCCTAAATTATGTATTATTCACAGAAAGTCAGTTAGGGGTGATACTAATTTTTTGAGTTTCTGCGTGATGGGGACATGAGTAGGATTATAATTGTTAACAGAAGAGCATAATAGTGAGGGGAGCCCTGATTTGGGAGCTGACATTTTCAGCTAATGGGGTGTGGTTGATTCCAGTTGCTGTTACTTTCCTAAGTTTTGCATGATAATGAGAGTAAAAGTTATGTTTTCTGTGGTTATTGAAATTTTAATTGTTTTAAAGAGAGAAATTTTCTGTGAAACAGAAGATACTGAGGTGAAAGGCAAGATAGGAAATATATAGGAAGGTATGAGAGCAATAATTGATATATTGGAGTTGTAATAATTTTTCTCATATTTTTGTTCTGATAATAAACTTATAAAATAAATAAAGATGAAAACTGTTAACTATAACCGATAAAGTAATTGATATTGATAACAAATTTTACATTATATATGTGATGTGTTTCATGATCAGAATTTATATATAAATGCTTATCTAAGTATTTATGATGTATTTACATTGTGGCTAGAATTAGCATTTTGCTGGTTATTAATATTCAATGATGCATGTCAAAATTATGCTCTTAGGAGGTTTATGTTCATAAAATTATTTATATGCATATATTATCTAATTACAGAAGTTGAATTAATTCTTTTTTTCTCAACAATTATTTTTTCTCTCCTCCTTTTCTCTTCGTCTGCCTTCTCATTTCTTTTTTTGAAACAAAAATACCGAACTCCCAAATCCTTCCTCCCTTCCTGAAAATCCAGGTGGTGGAATGGGTGGTATGAACAGTGTGACTGGAGGAATGGGGATGGGACTGGATCGGATGAGTTCCAGCTTCGATAGAATGGGACCTGGTATAGGAGCTATACTGGAAAGGAGCATCGATATGGATCGAGGATTTTTATCAGGTCCAATGGGAGGCGGAATGAGAGACAGAATAGGCTCCAAAGGCAACCAGATATTTGTCCGAAATGTAAGCGACTAAACGTTACGGATACTTGAATTTTTTTTTCTTTGAGTATATCTTACTAATACCCTTTTTTATTCTAGCTGCCTTTTGACCTGACTTGGCAGAAGCTAAAAGAGAAATTCAGTCAATGTGGTAAGTATATAAATAACTAAAGATGCGTGGGTTCGCAGGAAAATTTTATTTTTTACTTTTAAAGATTGCTGCCCAGGTACCTTATTCCTGAGTTGTTTGCCAGGTCAGATTTTCCTTTCGATAAGTAAGTTCTTTTGCTATTCTGACCCAGAGTGGGCTGGAGTGATAGCACAGTGGTAGAGCGTTTGCCTTGCGCGTAGCCAGCCTGGCCAAGCTGGGTTCGATTCCTCGGCCCCTCTCGGAGAGCCCGGCAAGCTACTGAGAGTATCTCGCCCGCACGGCAAAGCCTGGCAAGCTACCCGTGATATATTCAATATGCCAAACACAGTAACAACAAGTCTCAAAAAATGGAGAAGTTACTGGGCCCGCTCGAGCAGTGGACAGTGGACCAGAGCAGCTCAGGTTCCTGCTAAATAATTCTAAATAGATTTAGAGTAGAACCTGTCATTGTCTCCTGTGGATTGGAAACTGCTTGTTTTACCTGACTTTTAAAATATTATGTATCATTTATTATTTAAAAGAAGGTTTTTCCTATGGGAAATATTAATGATATATCTACTTCCTTGTTTTTAGTATAGTGCTTTGCTTGTCAGCATGATCCAATGAAATGCTAATGTTCAGATGATCAGAGTTACTAGGTGAGACCCATTCTGCACACTTTCTTATCTATACAACACAAAAAATTTCTCCGATAGCAGAATCAATTGCCAAGAATAGTTTTACACATTGACACATTCTGCTTGATTAGAAAGAGTCATGATAAAGGTTAAACATAGCTTTGAGGACGAAAGGCATGCTAAAAGTAAAAATATATCTTAATTTTTTGAAATCTTGAAGGGGATTAAGTTTAGTGCTCACTGACAAAATTGCCTCTGTGTTGATGTTATTAGAGATATTTATCATCTTCGTGTTCTCAGAGTACTTTATACTTAGCTCTCTTGTAATAATATGTTTACATTGTGTTCTCAGAATACTTTGCACCTAACTCTGTTGTAATTATCTGTAATAATCTGTTCGCATGTTTTCTTCCTCTGGAGGGCAAGAACTATTATTCCAAGAACCTTTCATTCCTTCTGTTCAAATAGTAAGGGTTTATAAAGTGTGTACAAATGAGTTAAGCTTTCTGATCTTCATTTATTTTTATTTATAATTTGCCCAGTCTACAAATAATAGATTTTCGGCAGTCAGCATGTAATTAGATTTACAAAGGGGAAGAACAAAGTAAGAGATTATCCCTGTCCTTAAAGAACATAGTGTGGGGGCATGGAGATTGCTCAATGGGCTGGAGCCATGTTTTGTATCCAGGAGGCCAGTGTTTTATCCGAAGTATGTCACAATGGTTCTCCCAAGCACTGCCAGTTGTGGCCCAAACAGAAAAAAGAAAAAAAAAGGAGGAGGAGGAGGAGGAGGAGGAGGAGGAGGAGGAGATGCAATGTGAATCTGTCTAGGATGTATCTTGTTGATTTTGTTTCTATAGAATATTTTACATAAACAAAAAAAAAGAAAAACAGGAGGAGGAAGAAGGGGGGAGGGAGATGCAATGTGAATCTATCTAGGATGTATCTTGTTGATTTTGTTTCTGTAGAGTATTTTATCTAAAATTCTCAAAGATAAGAAATTTTTGTTTTGTATTGTTTTGAGACCACACCTGGAAATGCTCAGGGCTTACTCCTGGCTCTGTGCTCAGGAATCACTCCTGATGGTCTCAGGGGACCACATTGGATGCTGTGGATCCAACCCAGCTTAGCCACATGCAAGACTAATTTAATGCCCTACCAGCTGTACTATCTCTCCAGCCCCAGAAACTTTTTTTTAATTAAAAAAAGATGTTGAAAGTGAGTCAGCTTGCAACTAAAAGGAAGCAGTACAACTGTAGAGTTGTTTAGAGGCTTTAGTTGTCATTTTAGGGATAAAATCTACCCCAATGAGTAAGATGCGTCCGACTATGAATCTGATAGACGACAGAGGAATGCACTTACTAATGTCTTAATAGAGCTTAATGGAATACATCAAATCGGTGCAGTGGCAGCCAGTGTCTCTAATCTGTGGTAAATTCAGTGGAAAAAATTACATATGAGATAGAGAGCATTATTATTGTTTTTAAATTTTTACATTTCGAGGTCAGGAATTACTCCTGACAGTGCTTGGGGTATCATATGTTCTGCAGGGGATTGAACTGGGGTCAGGCGCATGCAAGGCAAGGGCCTTAACCTTTCTACTGCCTCTCTTGTTCCAAGGACATTATTTTTAGTAACAGAAACAAAACAAGATAAAAGAGAGGATTTGGGCAAACAAGTGGCATCAGTGAGACAGTGACTGGTGTTTACTAAAACTAAGAACTCTGGGGACTGGAGCAGTAGTGCAGCAAGTAGCGTATTGCCTTGCATGTTTGATCCTAGGTTTGATCCCGGGCTCCCCGTGTGGTTCCTTGAGTACTGTCAGGAGTGATCCCTGAGCACAGAGAAAAACCCTGAGCACAGTCAGTTGTGACTCAGACACAAAAATGAATAAGTAAAAATAAAATAAAATAAAACTAAGTACTTTTCTGTCCTTTTTCCTTTTCTTTGCTGTGACAGGAATCAATCCCCTAGGCAGGTTTTCTTTTGAGGTCAGACATGAACTGGGCTTGCCGCAAACTTGAAGTCTTTTAGGGCACTTCTTGTTGGAATAGCATTGTTTTGACAGGACATACCAATTTATTTTATGAAAGACAAATAACGGTCAGATCTACATTTAAGCAATTTGAATAGTATTTAGGTCCTTTGAAAATCCTAAAAGATTTATCATTTTCCTCCTAAATCATAATTTTCTTTTTAACCAGCCTACAGTTATATCGTGAAGTTAATAGTGGTTTCTGTTTTGCTTCTTAATTTTATTGTAAAATCTGCTGACTTAGGTTTATACTAAGGGAATAACCATATTAAGTAATTCCCTATCTTTGCATTTTTTTCACCTTGAAATACATTGATGGGAAGGAAAATTTATTGGTGGTAGAGAATTAACCGTTGACAAATGTGGAAATTATCTGGCTTATAAAAATTGAACCATTCTTTTTTGTCATAACACTTTATTTTTAAATGATAGAGTTTCCTTTTTTCTTAGTGTGAGAAGTCATAGCCTTTTTGCCACCCCAAAAAAGACAGGGTTTTATTGCTCTCCTCAGGATGAGTAAGTATATACTTCTTTGATTGCTGCTTAGTAAAAACCTAATAGTACTCCATGCATTCTTCAGCCAGTATCTACAAAGAAATCATTCACCAGCAAACCTGTTTACAAAATGTTAAACTGTCCTTTATGAGGCAGTTACAAAGGCTGAGAAAGTGTTGTGTTATGGTTCCTGTTATTCTCAGTAGAACATTTCCTTAGACTATATAATTCAAGAAGAAAAAAACTAGTAAGATTAGACTTAAGTTTTTATAGTTAAATGATCCCTTTCTGTCCTTGCCTATATAGTTTTTCATTGGCAAGCATTTTTTTTTTTATTAGTGAAACACCGTGAGGTACAGTTGTAGATTTAACAAACTTTCATGCTTGGGTTTCAGTTATACAATGATCAAGTACCCATCCCTCCACCAGTGCCCATTCTCCACCACCAATGGTCCCAGTAGACCTCCCACTCACCCCCATCCCCTCCACCCCGCCTCTGTGGCCAAACATTCCCTTTTACTCTCTCTTTCCCTTATGGTGTTATAGTTTGCAATAGAGGTATTGAGTAGCCATCATGTTCGGTCTATAGTCTACTTTCAGCACGCATCTCGCATCCTGAGCAAGTCCTTCAAACATCCTTTACTTGGTGTTTCTTCTCTCTCTGAGCTGCCTTTTCCCCCAGCATGTGCTGCCAGTTTCCAAGCTGTGGAGCAGACCTCCTGGTACTTATCTCAACTATTCTTGTGTGTTCAACTCCTGTTCTGTTAACTTTATATTCCCCAGATGAGTGCAATCTTTCTATGTCTGTCCCCCTCTTTCTGGCTCATTTCACTTAACATGACACTTTCCATGTTGATCCACTTATATGCAAATTTCATGACTTCATCTTTTCTAACAGCTGCATAGTATTCCATTGTGTATATGTACCAAAATTTCTTTAACCAGTCATCTGTTCTTGGGCACTCAGGTTTTTTCCAAATTTTGGCTATTGTGAACAGCGCAGCAATGAACATAGAAGTGCAGATATCATTTCGACTGTACTTTTTTGCCTCTCTGGGATATATTCCCAGGAGTGGTATTGCTGGGTCAAATGGGAGCTCGATTACTAATTTTTTGAGAAGCGTCCATACTGTTTTCCAAAAGGGCTATACCAGTCAGCATTCGCACCAGCAGTGAAGGAGGGTCCCTTTCTCACCATATCTGCGCCAGCATCAGTTGCTTTTGTTCTTTTGGATGTGGACCAGTCTCTGTGTTGACTCAGAGTTAGATCCTGTATTAGTTTAGGTTTTACTGATAAAGTCACTAGGCATAGTCTTTCAAACTTATTCCCATATTATTCAAACATTTCTGTGGGAAAATATGTGTATGTGTGTGTGAATTGTTTGTTTTAGATGTCTATGTTTTACCAGTTGTAGACTAAATATTGTTTAGGTCAATGCTGACCATTATAATATAATTTATCTTGGTATTAGTAGTCTATTTTATATTTTTAAAAGTACAATTAAAGACAGCTGACACAAGTTTCAAGGTGATACTTTTGTCTCCATTTGTTAACTTGGATCATTTAATAATCAGTAGGTGAGCAAGTTGAGTAACTGCTGGTTTTAAACAAAATGCTATAATGGAAGGTGGTGAAAATACAGAAGGAGAAAAATAGTTCAGGATGCCTAAAATATAGAAGGAGAAAAATAGTTCAGGGTGTCATTTGGATTAAGATTTAAATAAAAGAAAAAATCTTAGTGAATTAAGATTAAAACGATCCTGTCATCTCAAAAAGACTTAATGAAACTTTTTTAGTAAGCACTTTGCTTTTACCCTTTTTCTCTTTCTTTTTTCTCCTTTATAAGTTAAATATGCCTGGTTCTCCAATTTGGTTTCCTGACTAAAATTATCCAAAATTATCCAAAGTGATCAGACAACTATAGTTAAGGGGAGGGATATATGGTAAATAATTACCTCACATCTAAGTTTGTGTTTTTCAAGTGATTATACATTACAGTTTGTAATTTGCCTGGGAATAGTGTCACTTTATGTTTTTATAAAAAATAAATAACTTTCTCTTCTGCTCTCTTTTCTGATATGAATGATAGATTCTCATGAGTCACTGTGAATTTTGGTAGATGATACTGATTTCAAATGTAAGTCTGTAGTCTCAGCAGTAATATTGTGTATTGAACAGTTACATTGTATTCCTCCTCTGGAAGATTCTGTGAAGCTGCTGCTATTTTGTCTTCTTACCATCACTGCTATTACCTTTATTGATAGATTTACATATAACTTCTGTGTCTGTGCCCCTAACAAATTTGCTGCTCCTCTGGACTTAAAAATTCTCATTGTGATATTGCATACATCCCTTTGGTAGAATAAGAAAGGGCCTTTTATGGCTTGTTAAAAAATTTTTGAATTCATGCAGTTTTGCTACTTTTTGCATGAATGTGGTAGTGAAGTGAATAAAAGGTAAGGAAGAGAGATTAATGAGATTGGATAGATAGCAACAGTTGTTTTAAAAGCAGGTTTTCTTTATGTTTTAAGTTTACATAAACTTGTAAATTTGTTACTGGTGACTTGACCTTTTTTGTTCTCTGTTGTCTTGAATTTTTTCTTATGGAGTTCACTTCTGAACCAGAATTTAATGTAGAAATAATTTTTAATAATATATTAAATTCCAAGAAAATTTATCTTGATTCCAATTTTGTATATTCTAATTTATATAGTCATTGCATTGTATGAATTTTGTTACACTTAGTTGAGAATTTAAATGTTATTTTTGAATCATTAATGTTTTAAACCAAACTACTTAACATTTCATCGACAATTTGAAGGACTTCAAACCTGTGTAGTGTAATGCAATATATTTAAATGAGATAGTTAATTCTTTAACTTTCTTTAATGTTAATTTTTGTTTTATAGGTCACGTAATGTTTGCTGAAATAAAAATGGAGAATGGGAAGTCAAAAGGCTGTGGAACGGTCAGATTTGACTCCCCAGAATCAGCTGAAAAAGCATGCAGAATAATGAATGGCATAAAAATCAGTGGCAGAGAAATTGATGTTCGCTTGGATCGTAATGCATAATTTAAACCATGGTCGGAACATTCTTACATCTGTTTTGCTGATTCTCCTAGTAAAAGTCATTTTTTAGTGATACTGTGTGCTTACAAAAGCTGTAAAAATGAACTTTTAAGACTCCCACCAGCTTTTAACAGTATAGTGTTAAATATACTGTGATTTTTGTTATCTCAAGTTTGGGTTTTTAAAGACAGCAAGTCTGGTCATTCAGTTTATATGAATGGTTATACTGTTTTTATGAAATAAGCCATTTTCTTGTTATTTTCAACACTACATTGTGGGATTTGTTCAAGTTCCCCCAAATTTTATCCACTTATTGTAGGGTGACGTATGTTTTTTTCAGAACTTCTGATATATATATATATGTGTGTATATATATATACATATATATATATATATTTGTCCTTGTAAAGGAAGGGCTCAGACAAATTAAGATGCAATTTTAGATGACTTTAAGTTACTTTTCTTTTGTGATAAACAATATAAGTTTTAGATTGTATAGTTCATGACATTTTTTTATTTTAATTCAATGAAGAAATGGATTTTTCTTTCTCTGCCCATCCCCATCATTCATATTTCCATATAACATTAATATTAATCTCCACAGCCCCAAATTTTATTATTTCCAATAAACCCAAGTTCATATAGAACTGATAATGTAGCAAGCCCCAAGTATATTAATAGGCAGACTACTCCCAACTTTCTGTCAAGTTTCCATCTATTGAAGTGAACTGCTGAAAAAAGAAAAACAATTGAAATATTGAGAGAGATAGTTATGTAAGTTAGTCCTCTGCTGTTCACTTCTACTGGAGCAGATGAATTTATAAATGCTGTTTTAATAAACCATGGAACACCTAGGCACAGCATATCAAACACATTGGATCCCACAATGTTAGACATAGCCATATCTCCTTTACCTGCAACGAAAAAGGCACGTTGTTAAATGTGCGGATCAGTACTGTACTTTATTATAAGATGCATTGGTGAAAACACTGGATACTTTTTGTTTGTTGGTTATGGAAAATCGTTGTATTAGAACAAAGTCTTTGTATTTTTTATTTTGGGATGGGTTAGTTTTTTAAGTCTTAACATTTATTTATCTAATAATTATCTTTTATTTATTAAACCATTTTTCACTAAGGTATATAGATTACTTGTTGCTTTTTCCTTATAATTGAACATGGTTAATCACGATTTAGTGCACATGTCAGAAAAACATTTGGGAGATTAGATTAAATGAAATCAATCTGCTATTACATAGCCTTTTTTTTGAATCTACCCTTTTTCTTCTTCAAAAGTATCAGAGGTAAAAATATACTCAAAGGTCTCTCTGCTCCATGTATTTCAGCCAGATTTGAAGAATGGACATTGCAGCTTGAGATACCTAGTTCTTACCTTTTCTTGCAACCAGCACACTTGCAATGGTGTCTGGTATGCTTGTTCCTGCTGCTAATAAAGTAAGGCCCATTACTGTATCTGGAATTCCTAATGTTTCCCCTATAATAAATAAATATTTACAGTTACAAATTTTTCAGATTAATAAACTGTTCTGCATATATTTCCTTTTTGAACCAACAATCAACGAAAAAGAGGCATATTTAGATTTCAGGACCAGTATATACTTTTCTAGACTTTAATTAACGAACTGTTATATAGGATTGGTAAGCTGGGTGGTTTGTTTAAAAATAAAAGACTAGCACAGATTTTTATTAGAAGATGTTTGGATAGCTTGCCAAAATTTTACAAAGGAATTGTTCCCCTGCTTTACCATACGCTTACAAAAGTTTTGGATGTCCTCTGTACTAAGTTTATTGCTTTATGCCAGTGAGACTTGGTGATTTTTTTCTTTTAAAAACATTTTCTTTAAGTGAATAGAGTTAAACGTATTTATAGCTATTTTAAGCTATATCGATATGGTATGTATTTTATAAATCCTAGTTTAGTCATATATTTTATTATTTTCTTTGGGAATATACCATAAATCTATACAAAGCAAAATAGAATTTTCCGTGAGTCTAGCATTATGGTCTTAGTTTATTAATGCTTCTGTTTTATTTCATGTTAGTTCAGTATTTATCAAACCATATGTTAATTTTGGGACCAGAACCAGAAGGAAGGGTTTGTTGTTTTCTAGTGCTGGGATTGAGCCCAGAGCCTCCCACATTTATGGTGAGTGCCCGATTGCTGAGCTATTTCTGCCCGCCCCACCCCCCAAGGGAATTTTTAAAAAATTTTTTGTAATTCCTTGTTTAATGTTGTGATTGAAGCCTTAGTATTCTTTTTCTGTTTTTCTTAAAATGCCAATTAAAACTTATTTATTGCATGCTTATGTATTGATAGCAGACTGGTTGTTAATTTTCACTAGTTTGCTATTGTTCATATGTACATAAACCATTAATATTTACCATTTGAGGATCTATTCTATGAATTATGCTTGTTTTTGTTCTTGTAGTTTCCTAATGCCAGATATGCTCTGACTGAGAAAATTTGGAGAGATTTAATATTCAGGCTCATTTGGCTTTTTCACCTTCCTTATTAAAATAAGGGAAAAAATCTGCTTTTTGCTAACATATTTTCTTTGGGAAAGTTAGAGATCAATAGACTTTTGAAGTGGCTCTTTAATAATTTTAGAGATTGTAGGTTTATATGATCTCTGAGTTACTCAATGACATTTAAGCTTCCATAGAAATTATGTAATGAACGGCACACTTGTGCTCAGTTTCATGAACAAAACTGGAGATTTGGTGATTTGGGCGTACTGGTGGTAGTTAATTTAACTTCTGACATACCAATTCAGGTAACGTTTGGGGCAGAAGTTTCTGATCTTTTTGTTTTTTGTTTTTCCTTCTGGATTTGGATTTTAATAGAACTAGAACAAATTATGGCCCGGAAGTATCAAAATGATTGGTCAATCATGAAGGCAGTGGAAACCTAAAATGAAACTTTGTTTTATATCTTTTTCACTCATTTTCTAGTATGTTTATATTGCTGTATTGTAAAAAAAATTAAATCCAGAAAAACAAACTGAGCACTCATCACTGCTTTCCCCAGACACTGGAACCTTGCTATATTTTCCATTAAGGAATGAAATTCACTATAAAGTGAGTAATGTAGACCCCATTCAATGTGGTTAAATTATTAGTGTAATAGACATCTTGTGAATTTGATTTCATTTATAAGATGATTTCTTAAAACCCTGGGCTGTGTAGTAGTGAGAACATAGTTGATATGTAATACACAACTCACAGAGCCTAATTAAGCTTGCTGTTATATTAATATTTAGTCTTTTTGTAAATAGCACCAATCTTTAGCCCAAACAGAAATTTGTTTGTTTAGCTAGACTGCTTATAATGACTATACACAACTTGTTCTTAAATGAAACTGATTATTTTCTTCTTAAATTGTACTATTGTGTTTACGATACATACCAGTTATTGTGACCATCCAAACCAGGATATATGTAAATGCAGATATCCATAGTGCAGACATGATAAAGGTTATTGCAAAATAATTTTTCCAAAATTTTCTTCTGCAGTCCGGTGTGGTTAGAAAAAGTAATGTAATAATAGGAAGAGATAATACCCAAAAAATTCTTTTCAAGTCTGCTTCAGGCATGCTGAATACACTTGGTTGATCTGTTCAGGAAAAATTAAACCATTTTGAGTTTTCTCAAATGGCCAATTAAGTTTGAAATGTCCATTTAGGAAGCTACATTGAAATAAATTAGCTGTATCAGTTTTTAAGAGGCTATTTAAAACATTTGAAACCTCATTATGGATATTGCTGGCAAAAAGAAACTAATTGAGAATTTAAGGCAGCCAGTATAAAATGAGATACTCAGCAGTTTCTTTATTTGGGGTCTTAAACCCATCAAAATATCTTGGGTCATTCTCTAAATATGTTGGAATGTTTGTGAAGTCTCAGATACACGTTTACTGGTTTTCTATAATGTTGTTGGCTTTTAATAGTTTTTATGGGACTAACCTGACTTCTGGAACTTACCTACTCTACTTGTGTTCATTTCCTACTATTAGTGATGCCTCTACCTGCCCTATGTAACAAATAACACCTACTTGGAGAATATCAAATCATTATAATATGGATTGATTCAGATATTTGATTCCAATCCATTATAAATAGCGGGGTATTTTGTTGACTTCCACCAATTTATGAATCTAAAATTTTCTGTAATTTTTAGAACCTTAAGAAAATAGGAATCTAATATATAGTCAACAATGTAGCTAGTAAAATTGAGTATTTTTTATTCATTTTGTTTTATTATTAATGGAAACAGTAACGTTGGATAAAATTGGAACTCACTTTAAAATTATTTAAAGTTTGTATGCATTGAAAAAAATCATACACATCTCTTAGATCAAGCCATATTATAACTAATACTAAGAAAATAATGCAAAATTTTGCAAAATTAATGCAAAAATAATGTCAAGCTTCAGCCAGTGAGCATTAACATTAGAATTTTCAGATTGGTTATTTTGAGTTTTTTTTCTAGTAAAATATAATTTAGAGATGTATACGTTTTGCATTTGAGAGACTGGAAACATCATTTGTAAGGGATAAAGTTATCTTTTACTTTATTTTAGGTAGTAAAACAAATTCTCTTCATAATGCACTGAACTAAATTTAAAATGAATTGCATACAACCACTGTAAAAGAAAAATAACCCTTATGTGTTTCTTTTTGATCATAACTGAATTTAACTTTCTACAAATTATATTTACTTAAATGTTTATACTATTTGCTTCAAATGACATATTTAAAGCTCAGCTGTTTTCTTTTCGCCCTCACCAGTCCTTTAAAGTCTTAGTTTTCTGAGCGGTGTTCCATTTTCCTGTTTCCTCAGTCATTGCTTATGCTAAAGGCCTTCACAAATGGAAGTGTTCCACTTAGTCAACAGCCCTTATTTCTTTGGCATCAATTCATGTTCTATGAGGAGAATACTTAGTCTTACCTGTATCATTTGCATAATGCTTATTGGCTGTTATTTACTGTTATAAAGTCTTACCTCTCTTACAAGGCTTTGTTAAAATACTTCCTTCTCTTCTATAGTCTTTCCTATCTAAACCATTGTCATCGTTTTAGACAGTGTGCAGTGTATCCTTTTTAGAATCCACAATTACACTTTAATTCTTTTTTTTTATTTTATGGAAATTAAACTTTTAAGTTTTCCCTTCAATGTTGGAAATGTCTTAAGGCTAGAGTCTGTGACTTCAATATCTCTAAACTTCCATGGGGATTTTTTTGGGGGGGAGTCACACCCAGTGATGCACAGGGGTTACTCCCGGCTCTGCACTCAGGAATTACTCTTGGGGAACATATGGGGTGCTGGGAATCGAACCCGGGTCAACCTTGTGCAAGGCAAACACCCTACCCACTGTGCTACTGCTCCAGCCCCCACATGGTGTGTTAATACTCACAGTACTTGCTTTATTCAAATAAAATTCTCAACTTTTCCTACTGACTAGACGTAATCATGGGATAGAATGTGCTTATTACCTTCAGAAGCCTGACTAAGACCATGTAAACTTAGAGAAAGCTGGGAGTAGCCAGAATCTTCATGAAATATTCCACTATCTGTTCTTGATTGCCGACGAATGAATGGCTGACCCTCATCTTCCCATCCTATCAATGACTGTTGTTCACTTCTCTCCTCCATGGCTTTGTTAAGACAGGTGCAGCAGCCACTGCATTTCTTTATAATATATTGGCTAATTTGCATATCAAAGCACAGCACCAAGACATATAATCCATATATTAAAAGCAGGAAGGTTCCTTCATACCTATAAATTAGAGAAATTTCTGTTTTTAAATTAAAAGCAAAAGTCATTCAAGTTAATAGCATCTAAGTTATATTTGCTAGATTTTCTAAGAAATGCAGCAATAAAATATTTCTTGTTATATTTTGGTTTTGTATATATATTCAAACTTAGTTACAGCATTATTATGAATTTATTGATAAAAGCTTGATATTGTCCTTCTATATTTCAAATAATCCAAGGTTGTAGAATGAATATCATTACTTGTAGATTCCTTCCAAATGGCAGGCATAAAAACACTTTGAAAATAATATAGGTAATAATTATTGTTTTTCAAAATAAATGTGAAACTCATAAATAGCAATGGATATACACCTTAGTCCATTACCAGAGTGTCTTACAAAGATAAATATTTGTGAAAGAATATATCTGTTCAACGATGTATTCAAATTTTATGTATAGCAAGTTTGTGAATTTCATATGTTAGACTGCCTCATATGTTTCAGTTTACAGAGTTTAATTGATCAGAATGTAATTGGATTAGGCATATATTCACAAGAAAAAATACTCTCTAAAAAGAAGAAATTATATTTTAGGCACTAAGAATAACTTATACGTAATTTCTTATTTAAAGATTGTGTTTGGCTAATGTAATCACATTTGAAACAAATTTGAACCTTTTACTTATGGTCAGTGAATCTGCTGAGTTGAAAGCAGAATTCTTGATTTCCCTAAGGGGTGGAGTATTAACTTGTTACTGCCAGTCATTGTCCCCTTACAGACAACTGCTGAGTCCCAGAGGGATGGATCATATTGTAACCAATAGTCTTTTTTTGAGGGGGGGATAGTTATATGCAGGGGAATCATTAGGAATTTTGCCAGGCTTTGTTGTTCCCTCAGTGCAGGTACTGCTAAATTGTAGTATTCCTAAATGATACCATTTACTTTAATTTCTTTTGTTTTTCCTTTTTTTTTAATGGTGCCCTCAGCTACTGTGTACCTACCTAAACAGTGTGGCCATACATTTCTTCTTTTTCATGAAGTCAAGCATTGTAATGAACACTCAATATACCAAGGCTTAATTGAAAAAGTTCTCTGCCAAGTCACCTTTTGCATTTTCTGGGATCCTCAAGTCACAAGGGAGATAACCAAAAAGAGCAAACAATGTTTGATATTGAAATCTTAAGCATTGTGTGTATGCATAAATATATATGTATAAATACACATGTAGATATACATATATCCTCTTACTGCAAATTGGAGAAGAATTTGAAGGAAATTATTTTACTTTTGTCATTTTCTCTCTCCTATCTTATGATCTTAACCACTTTAGTCAAACAATAACTTGGTAGATTTTTAAAAAGTTCACTGTTGGGACTCTGTTGTTACTTGTTTTGGGGGTCCATACGTTCCAGTGCTTAGAGATTACCCCTGACTTGTGCTCAGGGATCACTCCTGGCAGGGCCATATGTGATGCAGGGATTGAACCCAGGATGGCCAGGTACACGGCTAGTGCCAGACTCGCTGTGCTATTGCTCTGGCACACACTCTGTCGGAGTTTTAATGGACAACAAAAATTGCTCTGAAGCAATGAGATGTATCAGCCAGCAATGAGAAAGAAGGCTGGGGATATGTAGATAGGAAAATAAAATGACTAAAATAAATTGCAAAGTAGAGAGATGACCATAACCAGCAGTTGAAGAATTAGAGACCCACTCACTGTACATGATATAGATGTGATAGATAACTGAAAGTGACTGAAACATTTCTCCAAAAGGGTTTGTAAATGAGAGTTTTTAAACATTTTTTAAATTTAAGCACTGGTTTACAAAATGATTCATAACATGGGCATTCAATGTTCCAACACCAACCCCACCAGCAATGTGACCTTCCCTCCACCGTTTTCCCCAGTTTCCCACCCATCCCCCTAAACCTACCCCCTTAGCAGGCACAAAATAATTTATTTCATATTGCTTGTTACAACTAAATGGCTAATGAATTATCAAAAATTCTTAAGTAAAAGAAAATTTGTGAAAATTGTCATACCTTACCATGGGTCGTTTAACTCCTTGTCTGAGGGTTTACAAAGCTGCTGCTTGCTGAACCTTCTGTGTTAACTGTGTTTGTTTATTGAGCTTAGATTTGGCTTCTTTGTTGTTTTCCTGCCTAATTTGGTGTGTTCCTACTGGGATGTCAGTGTTGTGGAATTTGGAGATGTCTTGCGATCCAGGAACTCCAAGATCTCTAGAACGGGGCCGATGAGTTTACATGGATTATGGGATGTGGTGTTGAATTAGAATTTCTTGAAGTCTTCTCATAGTGTTTTGCATAAGAGTAATGATTACCAAGCTTACCAGTAAACTTTGTTGTCGAATATTATACCAAGAACTGCTGCTACACTAATTGCATAAGCCACACAGTCTCTGAATAGGGGCCAACAGGAGAGCGTGGAAACCTGTAAAATGATAGTAAATTTACTGTTTCCATTATATTGTAACTTCTTCAAGTACTTGCCTAGTATAATACTAAAATTATTTGTATATTTGTAGGTGGGTATTACCTTTTGCATATTGCTTAGAGAATACTGAACTTTAAGACAGATTGTGTTTCTAAACTTTACTCTGATTTTCATATACTTGACCAATAACTACTTGTGGATTAACTTTAAATTGAGTATGTGTTGTTTTTTCTATGAATTAATAAATTTGATTGAACACATCACTGGTTCCTTCTTTGTTCTAGAGAAATACTTCTTGGTGTGACACTAAGTTTTGTTGAGTCGAAGTGTTTTACATACCACATTAGATAGCAAGCCACAGGCCGCACAGATGCCAAGGAGATTATAAATTGCAGATCCAAGAATGGTGCTAATCCCAATATCTCCCTTTGTTATGAATACACCTGTGAGCAAGGTAGTAGCTAAATTAGTGTTGGTTTAAGATAAAAATCGTATCAAGTAAGCAAAAAACCATATGGAGCTCAACTTACCTAAGAAAGCAGTAACTAATTCAGGAGCTGAACTGCCGGCTGCCATGAACGTTGCACCTGCAACATCCTGAGACAGTCCAAGGGCTGAGGATAAATGTAATGAGGACAATTGCATTAGAACTGGTCAAAGTGAATAGAATATGTCTTAAATACAAGAGCTAGTCAAACATACAGCTTCGCATTGACTTAGCTGATAAAAAGAAAACTTTCCAGGTGGAAGGGATTCACTGTTGTGCTCTGTTTATGAATTCACAAATGGACAGGAGACTATGCTGTAGCTCAAAATCCTAATTGCAAAAATAGGGAATCATTTGGAAACCAGCAAGATACCTTTCTACATAGATGGAGTACTTGAGTTAAGAAATGACAATTTGGGAGTCCTTACTCGATTTAGAAGAAAAAGTAATTAGTAACTTGTAGAAATCTAGAAATGGAGCTGAATTTTTGTTATTCACGGGAAGCAATAGGCAGTTTTACTGTCATCTAGGTACAAATGAGAGAAAATTAGTTTAAGCCAAATAAAAGTTCAATATTGAATAAAATGCCCATTGATTCAAAACATGGAACCACTAAAACATAAGTACTGCTATTCGAATAGTATATGTATATTATCCAGATTTACAAACCTCAGGATTAACAGGATGAGTATTAGTATAAAAGTATTTTTTTCCATGTCCTTGTGTATAAATGACTTGCAGGCACATGAAAAAAATGCTCATATGTACATTCGGGGGAAAACCATAGTGACATAGCACACCTGAGCCCTTACTAAGAACAAGTAAGATGAGAATAGAGAAGACAGAACTCATTTACTTTTGGTGAAAATGTAAATTGACTTATCCAGTAGAGAAAAGGGGATGAAAAAGTCACCAAAAAATTAAAAATAGAATTGTCCTGTGATTCAGAAACTTCACTCCTAGGCATCAAAAGAAGGCAAGAATTTGAAACTGATACACCTTCATGTATATTCCTTACTAAAGCAAGGAGCAAAGAAATCAAGCTGAGGAAAGATTGCATCAAGTCAACCCAGCTATGCTGGTAGGCCGAAAACTACTTGATACAGATTGCATGGTAGGCATTTAAATTCTCTCCCTAGGTCATAAAGTTGCTGATCTTGTCTAAGTGCCAAATCTAGGAAGAAAATAGAAGTTTCCAAGGCTTATGCTATCCGTTGTTATATTGTTTATGTATTGAGTCTGACACTTGAGTTTTCCTGTACTTTGGAATTCCCTTGTGCTTTAGTACTATCACCTGTGTTAAGTTTTTTTTACTGTTTTATCTCTGTGGAGACCATTCTCTGTTCCCCACCCTCAGTCCAGCTCCCTATTCTGTTTCTCCGATGGGGTTCTGCCTTTTTACTGATTCCTCCTCCCCCCACCACCCGAGCTCTATCCTGCCACCACTTCGTATGATGTGTTTTCAAAAGTGGATCAAATGGAAAGTACCATGCTAAGTGAAATGAGTAAGAAAGAGAGAGACAGACATAGAAAGATTGCACTCATCTGTGGAATATAAAGTAACAGAATGGGAGACTCACACCCAAGAATAGCAGAGATAAGTACCAGGAGTTGATCCATGACTTGGAAGCCGGCTTCACATGCTGGGGGAAAGGGTAGCTCAGAGAAGAGTACATCAAGTTAAGTGTGGTTGGAGGACCCACTCGGGATTGGAGATGCGTGCTGAAAGTAGACTAGTTCAGAGAATGGCCACTCAGTACCTCTATTGCAAACCGCAACATCCAAAGGGGGAGAGAGAGAACAAAAGGGAATGCCCTGTTGCAGAGGCGGCGTGGGTGGGGAGGGATGCTGGGATCATGGGTGGTGGAGGGTGGGCACTGGTGTAGGGATGGGTACTCTAATATTGTATAACTGAATCACAAGCATGAAAATATGTAAATCTGTAAATACCCCTCGGTGATTCACTAATAAAAAAATTAAAAAATAATAAAACTACTATTACCTGTACAATTTTTAAGACCCTTCCTGTTTTCTGTAAAAAATAAAACGATCATGATCACGACCATCCTGTTGTTCATCAATTGCCTCGAGTAGGCACCAGTAACGTCTCCTTCGCCCTGGCCCTGAGATTTTCAAAAGTACTATATTCAAGGCTCTTTCAGGATTAGGAGAATGAGACCCATCATTGTTACTGGTATTTGGCATATTGGGTACACCACGGGGAGTTTGCCAGACTCTGCTGTGTGGGCAGATTACATTCGGTAGCCTGCCAGGTTGTCCAAAGTAAGAATGAGATAGTAAGATGTCATGCAGCCACAAGTGTGGCTGCGCGCTTCTGGTAGCTGGGTTTTATAGTCTCTGAGTCTTGGCCATTGATGGTATTACATGGTGCCAGGGAGTGGGGGAAGCAGTTGGTGGGTGTGACCCGTGCCTACTGGAAGATGGAGGATCTGGGTGGAGGATGCTCAGCCCCGATCTAAGCAGGCTTGGAGATCTCAGCCCCGGGACCTGCTTACCTTTGTTTCTCTGCTGGTACTTTCATGCTTGTGGAGAGTGGTCTCAGCATGGTTGTGGCTGGTTCTGGAGGTCTTTGGCTGCCGGGGCTCTGCTCGGGGTGGGTTCCCACCACCCACCAAGGGGCCCCAGCGAAGACAGCCAGGCGCGGGGGCAGGAGACTCTATGCTGTTCTCTTCCGGGAGCTGGGTTTTATAGTCTCTGGGTCTTGGGCATTGATGGTTCTGGAGGTCTTCAGCAGAGTCCTGGGGCTGAGATCTCCAAGCCTGCTTGGATTGGGGCTGAGCATCCTCCACCCAGATCCTCCATCTTTCAGTTGGCATGGGTCATACCCACCAACTTCCCCTGGCGCCATGTAATCCCATCAATGGCCAAGACCCAGAGACTATAAAACCCAGCTCCCGGAAGAGAACAGCGCGGAGTCTCCTGCCTCCGCGCCTGGCTGTCCTTGCCGGGGCCCCTTGGAGAGGGGCGGGTTGAGCTTTGCTCCCCGCCCCAAGCAGAGCTCCAGCAGCCAAAGACCTCCAGAACCAGTCACAACCATGCTGAGACCACTCTCCACACGCATGAAGGTACCAGCAGAGGAACAATGGTAAGCAGGTCCCGGGGCTGAGATCTCCAAGCCTGCTTGGATCGGGGCTGAGCATCCTCCACCCAGATTCTCCATCTTCCAGTAGGCACTAGTCACACACCCACCAACTGCACCCCCCCCCATCCCCCGGCACCGTGTAATCCCATCAACAGCCAAGACCCAGAGACTATAAAAAAATAAAAAGGCAAAGTTTATTTTTATGTCTGAAACCTGGGTGAGCATTTGTGAATGCTTTGACTAACATCATGGCAGAGCCATACCATGTCCAAAGCTAGGGCATGAAAATTAAAAATAATTTCCTCTTGGGTTCTCTAGACGCCTTTGCTTTTAGAGCCTTAAGCTACCATGTCGAAAGTCTGATTGCCTTGAATCCCTGTTCTAGAAACAACATGAAGAGCCCAAATAGAAATTGGGATATCCAGAGATCCCCATGCTATGGGGCCCTGGGATTGGGAGTGTTCTGTTCAGACACCAGGCATGGGAGAGAGGGAGCTTTCAGATTATTCCAGAACTTAATCTGATGACAACTGCAGGCCAAACCTCTAGCAAGAACCATTCTGTTAAGTCCAGTTACTTTATTATCTCTGAGATAATAAAATTACTGTTGGTTTTAAGTTAGTAGTTTGGAAATTTTGTTAGCCAGCCATAGATAACTGGAAACTGATTATGTTCATTTGTCACATTTATTGAACACCGTTCATGCCAAGTAAAGTCTTTGTGCTGATAATTGTCCAATTTTTGTTCTAGTGAGAGAAAATGGACTACCTGAAATGCATATGTAAAAAGTAGCTTTGAAAGAGTAAGATGGGAGCATATGAAGTAATACAAAGGGAGATTAGTCCTTTTAGATGGGATAAATAGGAAAAGACTTCACTGAGAAGATGACTTAAAGACTACAAATTGCAGAGGGAACTAGCCACACCTGTTTTCCATGGTAAAAATATTCTAGCAAAGGGGTAATGTCCAAAAGCTGTGAAGTGGGCACTTGCCTGGGTATTTAAGAAACAGGGAAAAGCCAGGACTAAAGTGCGTGATGGCAGAGAGGTAAGTGGATCCTTCTAAGGACTTTGATTTTTATTCTGAGAGCTATGGAGAATATTGGTTATTCATCTACAAAGCCCCTGCTGGTGATAGGAGCCCAGTCATATTTTACCTACATGAGGTTATTTGGTCTCAGAAACCCAAGCACTGTAATCAGCGCCATTTCTCCACCTAATTATCCTTTGTTTTGAATAATCCTCTCAGGATGATTTAATGTGCATCCTCTTTCCTATTCACTATTTTCCTTTGGTCATGTTGCTTGAGGAACATGTGCCTGCAGTGACTGAATGAGGGGAGGGAAGTAAGAGTTTGTGTAACTTCATAACATTTCTCTTATTGGCTAGAGAGAGCTTTCTATTTTCATTACAACCTGGTAATGTATAGTAAAACCAACTGACTTTTACAAAAGGATGAAACATTTTGCTTTGGATGAAAATTTTATTATTTTACGAATGAAGTAAACATCTTTTATTTATGGAAAACACTTTAATTTAGATAGTAATCTCAGCTTTCAAGATATGAGGGGTGATATTTCCGGACCCATGTCTGTGGGCTGTGGGGTTAATGCAAAGTGTGAGGATAAGGGAATAATAAGGATTTTAGATGTGAGGAGTTTGGGACAGAGAGAGAGAGAGAGAGAGAGAGAGAGAGAGAGAGAGAGCGCACACAGGAAAACTGTGCTGTGATTAGGATTTACTCCTGGCTCTAAACTCAGGGTGCTGCTGGAGGAACCACGTATGGAAATAAGGAACAAACTCAGGTCAATTTTGTGCAAAGCAGATGCCTTACTGTGTGTACCATCCAGCACCAGGTTATAAACTCCGGTGGTCAACTCAATTACTTTCTTCCTTGCATTCGTGGCATAATATGGTTTATTATTAAAGATAAATTGTTCTGAATTATTTGTCCTGTAACTGTTACTTTTCCCCAACAATAATCTACCCTTCGTTCCATTCCTTCTTATGGAAAAAATAGTTACT